CTCCTTGCGTCTTCCTGGGTTTCCCCCCTGACGCCCCAGGGTGGCAGTTCTACCACCCCACCTCTCGCCGTGTTCTGTCCTCCCAGGACGTCACGTTCGACGAGTCGGTCCACTACTACCGCCTCTTCCCCTACCGCACTCCGTCCCTCCCCCCGCCACCGCTCTTCCTTGTACCAGGTCCCCCCCCGGTAGACCCCCTCCCCCCTCAGGGTCCTGCCCCTTCAGGTGTGTCCCAGGTAGACGCTGTTGAGCCTGTCGAGGTCGCTGGTGACTCTGGTGCTGCTGAGGATGCTGAGCCTGGGGGTGCTGACTCTGGGGGTGCTGAGCGTGTGGGTGCTGACTCTGGGGGTGCTGAGCGTGTGGGTACTACGACTGGGGGTGCTGAGCCTGGGGGTGCTGCGTCTGGGGGTGCTGAGCCTGGGGGTGCTACGCCTGGACGTGCAGAGCCTGGGGGTGCTGCGTCTGGGGGTGCTGAGCCTGGGGGTACTACGCTTGGAGGTGCTGAGCCTGGGGGTGCTACGCCTGGTGGTGCTGTGCCTGGCGGTTCTCCGGGTGCTCCTTCTCGCCGGGAGCCACTCTCTCCCCAGGAGCTGCGTGAGTGGTTTGCCCGGCGCTGGAGGCGAGCTGCTGGAGCTGGAGGTGCTGCGGGTACTGGAGGTTCTGTTGCTGCTGAGAGAGCTGGTGCCACGGGTCCCGGAGGTGCTCGTACTGGGAGTACTGGAGCTGCTGGACCTGCGGGTACTTCTGGGGCTGGAGTTGCTGCGGGTGTTGGCGCGGAGGCTACTGCTGTCGGTCCTGGAGGCGGTCCTGCTGGGGGTACTACTGGTGCTGCTGGGGGTTCTGGAGCTGGAGTTGCTACTGGTGCTGGTGCTGCCACTGGGGGTGCTGGTGCTGTCCCTCCTGTGTCTGGAGTCGCCGCGCGGCCTCGGCCGTACTTCGTTCCGCTCCTTCAGCAGGTTCTTGGTCTCCCGCCTTCTACTGGTCCTCCTCCTCCCTTAGAGTGTCCACAGCCTGTCCCGTCACAGTTACAGTTACAGCCGGCCTCCCCACTGCCTGCTCCGTCTCCCTACACTGGTCCTACTGGAGGTCTTGCTGAGCGTCGTGAGCCTGCGTCTCGCCCTGCGTCGCCTGTCCGTGCTGCTCGCACTAGTGGTCGCGGTTCGCGTCAGCGTCCTCCTCCTGTCCCTGGCACGCACCGGATGTCTCTGCGTCCGTCCACTGCTCCTCTGCGTGCCCCTTTGCCTTCTCCTCCTGAGTCTTCTCTTCCTGCTCTTGCCGACCCGGAGTCGGACTCTCTTCGTGCTGCCAGTCCTACTGTCACGCGTCTCCTTGCTACTGTTGTCACTGACCCTTCCGTTGAGTCCACTGCTGCGTCTGCCCTAGTTGCTGAGCTCGTCGACTTTGCTGCTCGCTATCGCCTAGACTACGTCGCCAGTCTTGTTGCTGAGTCTGAGTCTGTCTGTCCTCCGTCCGTCGGGGGTGAGTGTGCCCTTGGCACGGACGTCTTTGAGGACAGGCAGGAGGAGTTCCAGTGCTTGGCCGCTGCTTCACCTCATCTCGTGTCCGTACTGCTTACCCCTGAGGGAGACCCGGATGCACTTGACATCCCGACTCCGCGCTCTTACGCGGAGGCGATAGAGGGTCCCTACTCCTCTCAGTGGCAGGCAGCTATGGACGCAGAGATGGCTTCCTGGAAGTCCACAGGCACCTACGTTGACGCTGTTCCCCCTCCTGGGGCGAACATCGTCAGTGGCATGTGGATTTTCAGGGTGAAGCGACCGCCGGGTTCTCCGCCTGTCTTCAAGGCGCGTTATGTGGCTCGTGGCTTCAGTCAGCGGCAGGGAGTTGACTACTTTCAGACCTTCTCTCCCACCCCGAAGATGACCACTCTTCGGGTACTGCTGCACGTAGCTGCTCACCGTGACTACGAGCTACACTCTCTTGACTTCAGCACTGCTTTCTTGCAGGGCAGCCTGCACGAGGAGATCTGGCTGCGTCGCCCACCTAGCTTCACTGGGTCTTTTCCTCCTGGCACCCAGTGGAGCCTACGGCGGCCAGTCTACGGTCTCCACCAGGCACCGCGTGAGTGGCACGACACACTGAGGACTACACTTGCGGCTCTTGGGTTTGCTCCCTCTACTGCCGACCCGTCGCTGTTTCTGCGCACCGACACTTCTTTGCCGCCGTTCTACATCCTCGTGTACGTCGACGACTTGGTCTTTGCCACAGCTGACACTGCTGGACTAGCCCACGTGAAGTCCGAGCTGCAGAAGAGACACACGTGCACTGACCTGGGTGAACTGCGCAGCTACCTTGGCTTGCAGATCACTCGGGACAGAGCACGCCGCACCATTACCCTGACTCAGTCACACATGGTGCAGCAGGTCCTTCAGCGCTTCGGCTTCACGTACTCCTCGCCTCAGGCCACTCCTCTGCCTACTCGCCACTCACTCTCAGCTCTGCCTTCGGATGAGTCCGTAGAGTCGAGTGGCCCGTACCCAGAGCTTGTTGGCTGCCTCATGTACCTGATGACCTGCACACGACCTGACCTTGCATACCCTCTTAGCATTCTTGCACGCTATGTTGCTCCTGGGAGACACAGACCGGAGCACATGGCTGCAGCGAAGAGGGTGTTGCGCTACTTGTGCAGTACGTCGGGCATGGGGCTTGTGCTTGGAGGGCAGAGTCCAGTGGTCCTTACTGGGCCCGCAGACGCTTCTTGGGCTGACGACCAGGCTACGCAGCGGTCGTCACAGGGTTACACCTTCAGCCTTGGTTCCGGCTCTGTTTCGTGGCGGGCTACCCGCTCGTCTTCTGTTCTCGGCTCCAGTTGTGAGGCTGAGATCTACGTAGGAGCCATGGCTGCACAGGAGCTTCGCTGGCTCACCTACTTGCTGACTGACCTCGGAGAGCTGCCTCGTTCTCCTCCAGTGCTGTACGTAGACAACAAGGCCATGCTGGCCTTGTGTCGGGAGCAGCGACTGGAGCACAGAACGAAGCACATTGCTCTCCGCTACTTTCTTGCTCGTGAGCTGCAGCAGCGTGGTCAGCTGCGTCTTGCGTACGTGGCCTCTGAGGCCAACACTGCTGATATCTTCACCAAGGCGCTTGCGCCTTGTGACCATCAGCGCTTCTGTACTCAGCTGGGCCTTGTGCCTACCTTGCCTCACTTGCTCACCTCTTGACCTTGCTTGTGCTGTTACATATATATATACCTGCTCTTGCTTGTCTAGCCTTTATATATATATGTACTCCTGCATGTGAACTGGCCTTGTGGCCTTGAACTTGTGCTCGTAATGTGTGGTGACTTTGTGATCCACCCTGAGCTTGCTTTGCTTTACTTTGCTTGACTGGTCTTGTGACCCCTTGTTCTCCCCCACTTTGCCTATGGGGGTGTGTCAGAATATTATAGCTCATGCATATTGTGTAGGCTATAGTGGGGTAGCCCATAAGGGGTACAACCCAATTAGGGTTAGTACTTGTACCCAATTCATTCATAGTTCATTCATTCCTTGTTTCTTATCATCATATTCTTGCCAGTCCACTAGATTAGGCCTTCTACTTCAAGAACACTAGGTTATTACCTTTACGATCCACATAGTTTGGGAGATTTCAGAGTTCGAGCTCCACCTTGTACCTACACACAAGCGTTCATACTGACCTTACTGGCCGACGCATTATTCTCTCTGTACAAATACAGTGAATACCATATGTATTCCCATTTCCTTTAAATTTTACCATTCCCTACCCCCTACCATGTTTTAACCTATCAGATCCATGTAATTTGGCAGATATTGGCATTCCAGTCGTAGATGGTACCTGCACTACAGGCGCGCATACCGACCAAACTGACCAGCGCATTACTTATGTTTTAAGAAATGCAGGTAATATCATATTCTTGTCTGTTCACTAGATTAAGCCTTCTACTTCAACAACACTTGGTTATAACCTTTCCGATCCCATAATTTGGGTGTAACCTTTCCCTTTCTCTTCCCTCATTGCATCCAGTTGAGTGCTCTGCCACACTGCCCATTTGTATCATTCCGATCCGACCCAGCATAATCTGGCCTCCAGGACGAGGTTGGTATTTCTGACTGGGCAGAGGGAGCTGGAAGACTTGTGCAGGAAGCTTGGAAGAAGTTTCAAATGAACGCGGGTGGGCAGAGGAGGGGGGGAGGTTGGGATAGAAATGGGGAACCGGATAGAGGAATGGGGAACCGGAAGGAGGAATGGTGGACCGGATTGAGGAATGGGGAACTGGATAGAGGAATGGGGAACCGGATAGAGGAATGGGGGACCGGATTGAGGAATGGGGGACCGGATTGAGGAATGGGGGACCGGATTGAGGAATGGGGGACCGGATTGAGGAATGGGGGACCAAGGGAGCATGGGGTGGGACAGCAGGGGTGGGAGCATGGGGGGCAGGGACAGGGATAGTGACAGGGATACACTCTATTTCACGCGGAAATTAAAATGAAGGCCTTGATAAATCAGGCAGTCCTTCAATTTCTACTGCATGCATTAAATTTCCAAATCCTAAGAGGTACAGTAAGGGAGGCACTATTGCCTACTGGCTGTAAAGTGAGATCCATTCATTCATGTGTCAGCTGCTGAGTCCTCCCTGACACTTTGAAGCCATGCCTTGAACAATAGTGGGGGCGATTCAGGTGGCACAAGGGTGAATCCTCTGCCTGTCCTGTGGCACAGTTGCAGTGGAGGCCCGTAGTGAGAGCCATTGGAGCTGAAACACTGCGACGGAGGCAAGCAGAGACGGGAAGTGCAGAGGGAGAAAGGCAGGCACGGTGCGTGAAGAACAGCGGAAGGACCCCTTTCAAAGGAGTAAAGGACAGGCCAGTGGAAACAAGGCACGTGTACAAAGAACGCAGATGCAGACGATGGAATGGAGAGGACAGCGGGCGGTGGAGACAAGTGCAGAGAAAAGGAGGAGCATAAGAACTGGGCAGCATGGTATGTGTCTGCAGCCATCACATGGTGCGTGCCTAAAGCATGCCCTGCCCACCTGCGAGTGCCCTGCCCTGCCCACCTGCGAGTGCCCTGCCCACCTGCGAGTGCCCTGCCCACCTGCGAGTGCCCTGCCCTGTCCACCCCACCTGAGCGTGCCCGTGGTGCGTCTTGAGGCACGGCTCCGCCCCATCGAGCTGGCACTCGGGGCGGCCGTTGGAGTGCCAGTCATCGTTGGTGGAGGTGTCGAGCATGACGTTCATCATGTGCGGCGTGGCGTCCGCCAGCATTCCATGCACACCTGCGCATTCACTGCCCACCCCCGCATGCCCTGCCCACCCCACCTGAGCGTGCCCGTGGTGCGTCTTGAGGCACGGCTCCGGCCCACCGAGCTGGCACTCGGGGCGGCCATTGGAGCGCCAGTCATGGCCGGTGGAGGTGTCGAGCATGACGTTCATCATGTAAGGCGTGGCGCCCGCCAGCCCCGCCGCCACCATGCCTAGTGTTGACCCCTCCGTCACCAGGAACGAGTCGCTGGCAGGCAAGCGGGCACAACGTGCAGAGGGGTGGAGGGACACACACAGGCAGGTGAGCATGTTGTGAGGCGCCTCAAAACAAGACGCCCGCCAGTCCCACCGCCACCATGCCCAGTGCTGATCCCTCCGTCACCAGAAAGGAGTCGCTGCCAGAGAGAAACGCACAGGCAGGTGGGCACACACAGGCAGGTGGGCACGCACAAGCAGGTGGGCACGCACAGGCAGGTGGGCACGCACAGGCAGGTGGGCACGCACAGGCAGGTGGGCACGCACAGGCAGGTGGGCACGCACAGGCAGGTGGGCACGCACAGGCAGGTGGGCACGCACAGGCAGGTGGGCACGCACAGGCAGGTGGGCACGCACAGGCAGGTGGGCACGCACAGGCAGGTGGGCACGCACAGGCAGGTGGGCACGCACAGGCAGGTGGGCACGCACAGGCAGGTGGGCACGCACAGGGTGCATAGCTGCCCAAATCTGTGACATGACCAGCCTTGCAGTTGCGTTGGATTGCACTGCAATGTGCGCACTGCTCTGGATAGGGGGCGCGGGTCTCACCAGAGTGCGAGGAGCCAGACGTCAATGACCGCGGTGCCAAAGTGAGGCCAGTCAAACATTTGGGGGGGAGGCATGAGAGGGGGAAGGCATGAGAGGGGGAAGGCATGAGAGGGGGAAGGCATGAGAGGGGGAAGGCATGAGAGGGGGAAGGCATGAGAGGGGGAAGGCATGAGAGGGGGAAGGCATGAGAGGGGGAAGGCATGAGAGGGGGAAGGCATGAGAGGGGGAAGGCATGAGAGGGGGAAGGCATGAGAGGGGGAAGGTATGAGAGGGGGAAGGCATGAGAGGGGGAAGGCATGAGAGGGGGAAGGCATGAGAGGGGGAAGGCATGAGAGGGGGAAGGCATGAGAGGGGGAAGGCATGAGAGGGGGAAGGCATGAGAGAGGGAAGGCATGAGAGGGGGAAGGCATGAGAGGGGGAAGGCATGAGAGGGGGAAGGCATGAGAGGGGGAAGGCATGAGAGGGGGAAGGCATGAGAGAGGGAAGGCATGAGAGGGGGAAGGCATGAGAGAGGGAAGGCATGAGAGGGGGAAGGCATGAGAGGGGGAAGGCATGAGAGGGGGAAGGCATGAGAGGGGGAAGGCATGAGAGGGGGAAGGCATGAGAGGGGGAAGGCATGAGAGGGGGAAGGCATGAGAGGGGGAAGGCATGAGAGGGGGAAGGCATGAGAGGGGGAAGGCATGAGAGGGGGAAGGCATGAGAGGGGGAAGGCATGAGAGGGGGAAGGCATGAGAGGGGGGAGGCATGAGAGGGGGGAGGCATGAGAGGGGTGAGGCATGAGAGGGGGGAGGCATGAGAGGGGGGAGGCATGAGAGGGGGGAGGCATGAGAGGGGGAAGGCATGAGAGGGGGGAAGGCATGAGAGGGGGAAGGCATGAGAGGGGGAAGGCATGAGAGGGGGAAGGCATGAGAGGGGGAAGGCATGAGAGGGGGAAGGCATGAGAGGGGGAAGGCATGAGAGGGGGAAGGCATGAGAGGGGGAAGGCATGAGAGGGGGAAGGCATGAGAGGGGGAAGGCATGAGAGGGGGAAGGCATGAGAGGGGGAAGGCATGAGAGGGGGAAGGCATGAGAGGGGGAAGGCATGAGAGGGGGAAGGCATGAGAGGGGGAAGGCATGAGAGGGGGAAGGCATGAGAGGGGGAAGGCATGAGAGGGGGGAGGCATGAGAGGGGGGAGGCGTGAGAGGGGGGAGGCATGAGAGGGGGGAGGCATGAGAGGGGGAAGGCATGAGAGGGGGAAGGCATGAGAGGGGGGAGGCATGAGAGGGTGGAGGCATGAGAGGGGGGAGGCATGAGAGGGGGAAGGCATGAGAGGGGGAAGGCATGAGAGGGGGAAAGCATGAGAGGGGGAAGGCATGAGAGGGGGAAGGCATGAGAGGAGGAAGGCATGAGAGGGGGAAGGCATGAGAGGGGGAAGGCATGCGAGGGGGAAGGCATGAGAGGGGGAAGGCATGAGAGGGGGAAGGCATGAGAGGGGGAAGGCATGAGAGGGGGAAGGCATGAGAGGGGGAAGGCATGAGAGGGGGAAGGCATGAGATGGGGAAGGCATGAGAGGGGGGAGGCATGAGAGGGGGAAGGCATGAGGGGGGGAAGGCATGAGGGGGGGAAGGCATGAGAGGGGGAAGGCATGAGAGGGGGAAGGCATGAGAGGGGAAAGGCATGAGAGGGGGAAGGCATGAGAGGGGGAAGGCATGAGAGGGGGAAGACATGAGAGGGGGAAGGCATGAGAGGGGGAAGGCATGAGAGGGGGAAGGCATGAGAGGGGGAAGGCATGAGAGGGGGAAGGCATGAGAGGGGGAAGGCAAGAGAGGGGAAGGCATGAGAGGGGGAAGGCATGAGAGGGGGAAGGCATGAGAGGGGGAAGGCATGAGAGGGGGAAGGCATGAGAGGGGGAAGGCATGAGAGGGGGAAGGCATGAGAGGGGGAAGGCATGAGAGGGGGAAGGCATGAGAGGGGGAAGGCATGAGAGGGGGAAGGCATGAGAGGGGGAAGGCATGAGAGGGGGAAGGCATGAGAGGGGAAAGGCATGAGAGGGGGAAGGCATGAGAGGGGGAAGGCATGAGAGGGGGAAGGCATGAGAGGGGGAAGGCATGAGAGGGGGAAGGCATGAGAGGGGGAAGGCATGAGAGGGGGAAGGAATGAGAGGGGGAAGGCATGAGAGGGGGAAGGCATGAGAGGGGGAAGGCATGAGAGGGGGAAGGCATGAGAGGGGGAAGGCATGAGAGGGGGAAGACATGAGAGGGGGAAGGCATGAGAGGGGGAAGGCATGAGAGGGGGAAGGCATGAGAGGGGGAAGGCATGAGAGGGGGAAGGCATGAGAGGGGGAAGGCATGAGAGGGGGAAGGCATGAGAACGCATGGTTCAGGCGCTCAAATTTTGAGAACCACGTGGAACAAAATAGAAACACTTGTTGTGGATGCGGAAATGGTCTAATCTAGTAGACTAGTGCAAATGAAGAGGCATCAAATGCAGTGGACCAGTCAAAGTGATGCGTCAGGCAGTCTGGTCAGTATGCGCACCTATAATGGGCGTACCACGCAGGGTTCAGGCGCTCAAATTTTGAGAACCACATGGAACGAAATGGAATACATTGTTGTGGATGCGGAAAGTAGTCTAATATTGTGGACTAGCACAAAAGAAGAGACATCCAATGCAGTGGACCAGTCAAGTGATGCGTTGGGCAGTCTGGTCAGTATGCGCACTTATAATGGGCGAACCAGGCAGAGTTCAGGCACTCAAATTTTCATAGCCACGTGGAACGAAGTGGAAAAAAATGTTGTGGATGTGGAAAATAGTCTAATCTAGTGGACTAGCACAAAAGAATAGGCATCCAATGCAATGGACCAGACAAAGTGATGCGCTGGGTAGTCTGGTCAGTATGCGCACCTATAATGGGCGTACCACGCATAGTTCAGGAGCTCAAATTTTGAGAGCACATGGAACGAAATGGAAACACTTGTTTTGGATGTGGAAAATAGTCTAATCTAGTGGACTAGCACAAAAGAAGAGGCATCCAATGCAGTGGACCAGTCAAAGTGATGCGTTGGGCAGTCTGGTCAGTATGCGCACCTATTATGGGCGTACCAGGCAGAGTTTAGGAGCTCAAATTTTGAGAACCACATGGAACGAGAGAAGGCGACGGGTGAAGCCGCAGTCGCACGGGCAACAGGAGCGACGCGCACAGTGGCTACCGAGCGCACGAGGGCACCGGACTACGGGAGTATCTGACTCCGCGGCTACGACGAACGGCATGAGCAACGGACCCACAGGCGACTGGCGAAGCAGGCTCGCTGGGCTACCGAGAGCACGAGGGCTCCGGACTACTGGCGCTGCTGACGACACGACGGCGACCTCCGCTCAACCTCCCCTAACTGTCCCACACCCCCTTCTCACACACCCCGTGCTGCACCCCTAGATCCACTCCCACGGCACCCCCCTTAGCGCCACTCCCTCGGCTCCCACACACCCACCCCCCTCAGCGGCAGCTGCAGCAGTGGGAGACGGAGGAGGAGGAGGAGGAGTAGGGGACGGCTCACACAACCGCCACCCCCATACCCGCCACCCCCAAACCCTAAACGCACGGCGCTGCTACGGGCGACGGGCAGGGGGGGGGCGCGCGGGTCCCTGGGGGCGCCACGACGGGCGACGGGAGGGCGACGCCCGGGTCCCTGGGGGCGCCACGACGGGCGACGGGGGGGACGCGCGGGTCCCCGGGGCCGTCGCGACGAACGACGGGGGGGACGCGCGGGTCCCCGGGGGCGTCGCGACGAACGACGGGGGGGGAAGCGCGGGTCCCTGGGTGCGCCACGACGGGCGACGGGGGGCGACGCGCGGGTCCCTGAGGGCGTCGCGACGAACGACGGGGTGGGACGCGCGGGTCCCTGGGCGCGCCATGACGGGCGACGGGGGGGGCGACGCGCGGGTCCCCTGGGGCGCCGCGACGGGGCAGGAAACCGCCACGCGCCCCGAGCTCGTGGCAGGCAGAAAACCGCCACGCACCCCGAGCGCATGGCGGGAAGAAAAAATAAACCGTCGCGCGCCACGGGGCGCGCGACATAGAACAGCAGCAGCGGAAGCTTGGGGTGGGGCCCACAGGCTAGGATCGAACGAGCTCTTAATACCATGTTGAAATAGTAGGCATAGCTTAGGACTAGGTAACTAGGGTTTAGCCTAGGCAAAGGAGGGTTTGCACTATGAAAAGAGAGGTACAAATAGAAGAGAATTAGCAAGGAGTGGTGCACCACCACACAGAACACTAGGTAACTACTCTACAGCTAGAACTATATGCACTTATACAGACATATATATAAGATATATTCTGACACTCCGGTGCTACCACAGGTGTGGTGCCGAACACTGGTGCTACCACAGGTGCGTGTGCTGAAGACCGGTGCTACCACAGGTCCCTGAGAGTCCCTGGGGTCCCTGAAAGTCCCTGGGGGTCCCTGAGGGTCCCTGGGGTCTCTTGGGGTCCCTGGGATTCCCTGGGGGTCACTGGGGGTCCCTCGAAATCTGGTGAACCCCCTGGGGGTCCCTGGGCTGGGTTCGTAGGGGTCCCTAGGAGTTCCTGGGCTGGGGGTCTTTGGGGGTACGTTTGGGACTCTGTGGGTTCCTGTACGTCCCTGGGGGTCCCTGGGGTTCATGCGGTTCCCTTCAGGTGATTTCAAAGAACATAGGTTTGCATATGGCTGGCACCCCGGTGCGTTCAATGACGGGTGGTTGTGCGGTATGTACAGGGGATTATGGTAAATTGTGCGGACAGCCAGTTACCCATGCACTTGAGGGTTTTCACATGAAATCTGCAACTTGTTTATTGCCTCATGCATCATCATCTTTTAAACCATTGCTCGATACTCTAATTTCTAACCCCCGTGTATTCCCTGAACACATTTCCCCGAAAGGCCTCTGCAACTGCAATGCTCAGTAAAACCACACTACTGCTGGTCAGAGTTAATGACAGGGCATCAGGTAGCAGTCTTGATCTGAAAGCGTGACAGTGTTTGCATGAGATGGGTGACTTGGAGATAACTCTCTATGGTGCGGCGCAGAGATATGATGGAGCCAACCTGGTGTCACACACACACTGCAGTTAGACACCCACCCAACATGCCGCCTGGCCTGGGCCCAAATGATTAGGCACGAAACGGACTGGATGGTGGATAAGAGACATGCAGGATAGCAGGGATTCCAGGATGGAGACATTAAGTAACAATCACTATGAACTCACAATGATCAGAAGTGATGTGAAAGCTATGGAGATCCCTGAGATTCGGTAGACAAACAGACTAAGTGCTGATGATGCAGACGCCATGGATGCTAGCAGCACACCACCTGGTGAGGAGAGAGCACAAAGAATGGTGAGGGGAGAGCACAAGGAATGGTGAGGGGAGGGCACAAGGAATGGTGAGGGGACTGCATGAGGGCAGAGCACCAGAAAACGTAGTAGCAGGTGGTGATGTGAGGGTACTCCCTTGTAATAAACCGCTGCCAGCACATTCACAGCTGCCAGGCCCCGTCCACCGCTCTCCTACTGCTGCCACACTGGCCGCTCCCAGTGTAACCATCTCCCCTGACCCATCGCAGTGGCGGCCCATGGAGACAGGAATGGGACCACGTTGGTGCGGTGGGGAGTGGCGGGCAAGACAGGGGGGCAGAGTGGGAGGGGAAGGAGAGAGGGCTGTGCAGAGTGCGGGACTTTGGGGGGGGCGAGAGTGGAGTAAGGACGCACCAAGGAAGCGAGTGGAGTCACGTGCGTCTCTGAGGAACTCGGCTGTCTCCGCCCCTGGCCTCACATGCCGCACCCTCGCCCCTATCGCCACCAGACTGTCCGCTATGTCCTTTATCGTGTCGTCCTGGTGCCATGCATGCACACACGTGCACGCGCGCGCACATACACACATGCACACATACACACAAACACACACACACACACACGTACAGACACACATATACACAGACACACACACATACACACACATGGCACACACACACAGACGCGCACAAACATAGGCGCGCACATACACAGTTCCACATACACACGGACAAGCGCGCACATATGCACACGCACCAAAACATCCGCATATGCACAACACCCCCTCTCCCACACGCACACATGACATGCACACACCCGCATGGGGTATGCACAAACATCCAGGTAAGAAGCAGGAAGTGGATGTGGGCAAGTGTGGTGTGGTGCATGCAGCAGAGTGCATGTGCGGAGGAAGCGAATGCCTGCTGCACTAAACCATGTGCGGAGTGCAATAGGCAGCAGTGCGGCAGTAGGGGCGAGCAGCACACCAGGTCGTATATGTTGAAGAGAATGGTGATGAGGAACACGGCTGTGTGGCCCAGTGCGCGCAGGTGCAGGGGAGCAGCAGCCACGTTGTACCCACCCACCTCCCTGCACACACACGCACGGCCGGCTCAATGCTCACATGAACACACGGAATGCCACATGCACTGCCTTGCCGGCACCCATGCAGCACTGCAAGGGACCTTTTGGGTGCAGCGCACGGGAGGAAAGAAAGACCATGATCAGGTTGTAGTGCATGAAGACACTCTCACACACGCCCTGCGCTGTGCTGCCATGCTTCTGCTGTGCACGTGCCAAATGAAGCTTCAATAAGCTGAGCATTCTGCCCTAGGAGATACGCCCTGCGCAGCACAGCGCAAGCAGCACGCACCGGAGAATCATGGTGACGGAGGAGGCGAGCAGGGAGGCGTTGAAGACGGGGTACATGCCCTGGGGGATGAGCGGGAACGGCACCACTGGCTGCACCTGCGCCCTCTCCTCCCTGCACCCGTGGCACGCACATTTGGGTAGATGCACGGGGAGTGGTGAACGTATGCACCAGACGCACGTGTGGTTTTACAAAGAGGGACAGATGGGTCGACATACAGAGAGGAGAGGGAAGGAACGGGGGGCACAAGGTGAAAAGATGAGAGGAGGGTAGGTGCTGGGATAACAATGCATGGCGAGGAGGGCGGCGCGGAGAGGCGTGGTACAGAGAGGGCGTGGTGATGTTGAAGTCAAAGTAGAGCAGCGGCACACGGCGCACCCCCCCCACGAGCCATGCAGCCGCGAAGGTGGTGAGCACAAAGAGCGTGAGCAGCAGCGCCAGCAGTGCCGCCACGTGTGGGTCCGACAGCAGACGCTCTGCGCTTGCTCCACACCGCGTTTGGTGTTGGAGGGGGGGAAGAGAAGGGGGGGGGCAGGGGCGCATGCAAGGCAAAGTGAAGTGAGGCAAGCACATTGGTGACAAGAGCACTGAGGCCATTAGAGTGCACGGCACCAGGGTGGCTAGGTGAGAGGGGCAGTGTGGGCGAGTGGTGGTGGAGAGCAGGTGGCGTGGAGTGTGGGCAGGGCAGTGGCGCAGCGACCTTTGAAGAGGGCGAGGGCGGGCTGCAGCGATGCTGTGAAGCCCGACAGGATGCTCAGACAAATGAGCAGCGAGTAGCCCTCGCCTGCCATGTGCGGGGGGAGAAAAGGGCACATGGTGGTGATGGCGAGGAGAAGACAGGGCGCAGTGACTCAAACAGCCGTGCTTACGACATGGAGCAAGCTCTGCAGCACAGTACACCATGGCATGGCATGGCATGGCACAGACAGGCAGAGAGGCTTGGAGAGGGCGGGGCGGGGAGGGTGTTACCGAGGCCGAACTTGGTGATGGCGGAGCAGAGGCCCTGCAGCAGGGTGGAGCCCGCCGCCAGGGCCAGGGACGCGCGCAGGAACGACGGCAGCCACACTCTGGCAAGGGGGTTAGGGGGCACACGCATGCAGAGGGAGAGGGGTGATGCATGTGAAGGGCGTGAGGGCTTGAGGCATCCAAGATGCAGCTTGAGGGCGGTCGGGAAGGGGATGAGCCTTGCAGGTGCACATGAGTTAGAGGTGTGGTGGAAGCACATGGGGCGCAGAGCAGCGCACCTGAGGGCGCCAGAGCAGTCCATGGACGTCCATGCTGTGAGCCCGCCAAACACCACCGCCAGCCCCGCTGACACGTAGAAGCTGCACGGGGGGGGGATGGAGAGACACGCCGAGAAGGGTGAGAGGAGAGATGCAAGGGCGAATGCCAGATGTCACAATCAGAACGGAAATGACAGGAGAGTGAGTATGGGTGAGTGTAAGAAGCGAGTTGTTTGAAAAGGTGCATGCGTGCGCACTGACGTGTATCGCTGGATGAGTGCAGCACCCCTTGACCCCTCGTTGCGCAGGTTGTTGAGATGCGGTGAGATGCGCAGCGCCAACACCACCTGGTCGTACACGTGCGCGCGCGCGCACACACACACACACACACAGCGAAGTGCGCACAGGGGGTAAGTGTCACGATGACATGCAGAGGGGTTCGTGAGAGAACGAGAAGGCCAATAGTGGGTGACGGGGAGGCACTGGGTGAGAGAGAGTTGCGTGAGGGAAGGGCGGTGGCACCTGAAGGATGATGGAGGCGAATATGTGCGGTGTAATGCCCAGAGCGAACAGGTTGATGGGACCTCCCGGTGATGCCACCTCCAGATCCAACCCTGCCCCACCGCACCACACCACATGGCACCTCATCATCACATGTCCTCAAAACGGTTCCATGAGCAAAACATAGGACGGCAGAGAACAGCAAACAGCAGCAGCCCCTAGCGCGGCCCCCTCTCCCCTCCCCTCTCCCCCCTCACCGGCGGCCATGAGCAGCGGGTGGTCGTGGGTGGCAGTGCTGGCCTCCTTGAGGCCCGCCAGCGGCACGGCATACCCCACGCGGGACAGCGCCAGCAGGGCCGTGGTGACGAGTGCGCGGCGGGCGAGCTCGTCGCGGAACAGCCGGTCCACAGCGCGCTCCACGTGCGTCTGCCACATCGCCACCGCCAGGAACAAGTTCTTGTATGCCCGCCCGCTGCCGCCCCCATCTCCCCGCCCCCATGCGCGCCCCCCCGCCTGTGCCGCCCAGGGCGGCCCCTCTGCACCGCGTGGCGCTGCTTGTGGCTGGCTTCGCGCTTGCGTGCGTGGTGACGCGGCGGGGGCGAGCTGCGTGGCAGAGGGAACGGGCGCCGTCGCTGCGCCATTGGACGACGACGCAGAGGCGCTGCTGCGCGCATGCTCGTGCTCGTGATCTTGTTGATCTGCTGTTCTACTGATGCTTTCGCCGTCGCTTGCTTGCGCCCTCGCCTCCCCCACGCCTGCTTGCACCTCTCCTCGCCCCAGCGCCTGCACGCTCACCTGCAGCATTGCCTCCGCCACCTCTCGCGGAATCCCGCCACCCTCCCACCCTACCCCGCCCACCCCCCCACCCTCGTCGTAACGTGTCTCCGCCTCTGTCTGCCCTTCCCCCACCGCCTCGTCTCCAACCGTCCCTCCTCCATCCGCCGCCCGCGCCTGCGGATCGTCCGCGCCCCAACCGTTCGCCCTCTCGTGCTCCGCCGAACCTACTCGCCCCTCCTCCCCGCGTCCCGCGCTAGCAGCACGCACTTCAACCGGTCTATACCGTTGCCTACCGCCGCCCCTACAGCGCCCCGCCCGGCTTCCTTCCGCCATGCCGCTCCACCACCGCCCACATTTTTCGCGCGATGTCCCTTGCGCCCAACCTCTGTGCGCCGCCAATACGCCTCCCCGCGCGTGGCTCAGCGCGGACCAGCGGAGTGCGGGAGGCGCGTGGATGGCAGCGCGGACGTTGATCCGGATCGGGGGATGGTAACGGGCGCGCGGGGACGAGGGGGAGGAGAGGAAAGCGGGGCGGAGAAGGGGAGGCGGGGGACGGATTCCCCGCGCCAGCACGTCCATGGGAGGCGCGCGCTCGTCTAGCGCAACGCGAGGTGAGATGAGGGCTCTGGGAGGGCTGTGCGCGCAGTGAAAGGTGGAGCAGGCGGGAGAGGTACGCGGCCGCGATGAGGAACGGGCAAGATACGGGCTGACAGCCTGCTGACCAAGTCAGTCGTTTGTGCTGGCGCTTGACGGAGAGCAGTTACAAGTACCAGATAGCGGTACGATGATGAGCTTTACCTACAAGGTGTCTCATTTACACAAGTTCTGGATCAAACATGATTCTACCGGTACTATGTACCAACATCACAAAGCTGCTTGTTGGACAAATTTGTGAGGCACCCCCTGTAACACAACATAATTTGTGTGGCCATTTTAAACGCACTGTCGAGAAAAATATTATGGTAATATATTCTATTGACATATAGTCGCATTATGTACTTTCCGGTAGGAACGGAGTGACCTTGCTTCTCAATGGCTCTGGCAGTGTAGCAATGCTCTCCAATATCTCCTGCAGCAAGCAGCGAGCAGGCGCATGAGCAGGAATGGCGAAAGGGGCACGTGCCAGGGCCAACCGACGGCAACTCGTGGCGCGAGCAGTGCATGGGCGCGGGTGAGGGGGGTGGTGTACTGACATGGCGGTTGTATCGCGCTGAGAAGTGGATGAAGAGAATGGCCTCGTTCTGAAACATGTGCGCCAGAGGGCGCAGCTGGGGGATGGCACCACGGCACCACGGCACAGAGGGCATGTGTGGGCCAAGGGCATCAAGAGGGACTAGACGTTTTGTGCAACTGCTGTTGACACAAAAATTAAGGCCAGTTTCGCCAGCATAAACAAGAGGACGGGAAGAAGACAAGGGCAGGTGATTAGAAGAGGTGAGAGAGCGAGATGAGAAAGCTTGCCTCGTTGATGTGAATGTGGCCGAACTTCCTTGCATGCTCTATGGTGACCGAGTCATCAATGAACGTCACCTGCACGCACCAGCAGCATGCAGCAAGGGATGAGGGCTGGACGTTGAGCACACATGCACTTGAACGAGATGGAGCAACCCAATCAGAGCAGCACGTGGGTGTCGTAGCAGTGAGCGCGCGTGCTTGCCCCCTGGTGGCATGGCATGGACGTGTGGCGGGGAGGGGCAGACCTCCATGATGAGCAGCTTGGCACGCAGCACATGCGCGTTGGCAGGGTCCGTAATGAACTCCGCTGTTGTGTCGCCTGTGAACGCCACCTCGCCCACCTCCACCTCCTCTGTTATCTGCCTCCCATGCCATGCCATGCCACCACATGCCACACCATGCCATGCCAGGCCATGTCATGCCATGCCACACCATGCCATGCCACGCAATGCCACGTCATGTCATGCTGTGCTACACCATAACATGTCATGCCATGTCACGGCATGGGATCAAGCAGTGAATGGAACACACACAGCAAATCACACAACCACTGCCTTTCAGGACAGAGTCCCACAGCACTTGTGCTGGTACATGCAAGACGGAAGCAATGCTGCACAAAAATCGCGCGCTGCCCATAGTTGACTGCTGTGCACTTGCCTGTGTGCCGGCATCCTTGAGTCGCTTGATCTCAGCGCCTGGCAAGCCCTGGTACTGCGGCAGCAGCTTGTGCCTGCGAGACGAGATCAAATAGCCCTGGGGGTCACGGGTGTAACACATTTGTGACACGGGGAGGCGCATGGGCGCAGGAGAGCTGGGATGATGAGGAGCTGAGAAGGAGTGGGGGAAGCGCGAGGCCCAAAGGTGGACTGGTGGAGCACACGATGCGAGCAGCAGTGGGTGCAGAGGCAGGAACAGCAGGTCATGCTCACAGCTGGCAACAGGCGCAGTGGATGGTGGAGCGGGTGGCGAGAGCAGCAAGGGCAGCATCCAGCCATCAACTCCAGGGTACCATGCCTCCATCCATGCACACACCAACCCCCCCCAGCACCATCACCGCTGCCCGGGTGAGCCTCTGTCCTCCCCTGCGTCACCGTGAGCACTGACCTGGCTGGGCAGCACGTGGTACGTGGTGAACGGCTGCACCACATAGCCCTTCTTCACCCACATCTCCTCGCCCACCTGCTGCCATGCACACGCGCACACACATGCGCACGCCACCAAGCATGAGACGCACGCATGCTGGTGCGCACCGTGGACGGGACTCATGCTCCCAACATGCAGAGCCACAGAGAGGCTGGCAAGGGGAGCGGTGACAGGTAGGCGCGACAGCGAGAGCATGGCAGGGGGGGCGAGGCAGGGAGGCATGGCAGGGGGGCGTGACCTGGAGGGGTATGAGTTGGAGGGGCAGGGTGCTGCCGTCGAGTTGCTGGAAGCACTGTATCATGGCCGTCACGCCCTGCACGGCCGATGGCGGCACCACCACTGTGGGCGGCGCCAGTGAGAACAGCCCCCTCGTCGCCACGTGGAACGCCAGCCCGCCCTGCATGCACCCGCATGCCGTTGGGGGGGGTTGGCGGTCGGGGTGGGTGGTGGAGGAAAGGGGGAGGACGAAAGGGGGAGTGGAAAGGGGATGAGCCGACGTATGGGGGCATGGCGGGCTCACGCTGCGCAATGCCAGGAAGAATCCAGCCGTGCGTGAAGCGTGTAACGGGTATGCGGCGTTCCCAAGGCAGCGAGGGGCAGGGCAGGGCGGGGCGGGGCACGGACCACGTGGTCGATGTGCGTGTGGGAGATGAGCACGGTGTCCTGGAACACAGCGCGTGCAGGGCACCTGCCGATGTCAAACGCCACGCGCATGCTCGGTATTATCACACACGTCTCCTGCCCGCCCACCGACACGCCCTCCACCTCGTACCCCCCCACCACCATGCCCGCGCCCCGCTTGCCCTTGCTCCGCTGCTCTCCCCCGCCCCCTTCATCCCCCCTGCCATCGCCTGCACTCTCGCCCTTTTCCCTTCCGCCTCCCTTCTTCCCCTTGCCCCGCTTCTCGCTGCCCCTTGCCCCTACAGCAGGGGGCAACTCCTCCCCCGCGCCTGTCCGCGCCGTCGCCGCACCCGTCACCGCCGTCCCCTCCCCTTGGTCGCCCGTCTTCCCCTCGCTTCCCCCTCGTTCCCCGCCCTCGCCAATCGTTCGCGCAGCTCCGTTCGACTCACATCGGCTTTCCCCCTCCACCGCTACGCCTGTCGCTGCTTCCGCCCGGGCGCCAGCCGCCTCCGCGCCAACGCCGCTCATTCCGCGCATGCCACTGGTGCGCCCCTCGTTCCCCTGGCTGAGTGAGCGCGGGGAATCCAGTCGCCCGTTGGACACGCAGTGCGGCGGGGCGCAGCAGGCGGAAGGGGCGCGGGCAAATGGTGGGGAGGGAGGTGGGGCGGGTCGGATGTAGCAGGTGGCGGCGATGCGCCGCGTCCGGAGGGGAGACGGAATGAGACGGCGCGAGGGGCGACTGGGGAGGGACGCAGGAGGAAACGAAGAGCGGAGGGAGAAAGAGCGGAGATACGGTGGGGGATGGAGAGGCAACAGCCGAAGTGCCACGTGGCAACAGACGGGATGAAGGATGTGCGACATTCGAGCAGGAGCGGAAACTTGAGACAAACGCAAGGCAGACTATGGGTCGATGTGGGTGGGGTGAGTGAATACCGGACCTGGAAATGAATGGACTCAGCGACACGCAATGCACATAAATAAATGCCAAACACATTTGAACTTCTTTTACGTCTGTCTCAGGTTAATCAGGATTATCAAGGTTAGCATACACAGCGTTAGTGAGACAACTGGGCACTTGCAATGGCGCAAGGTTCATGATGACCTCAAACATTAGAAGCCGGATCTCGGCTCACAAATACCACATGCAATGAATGGAATTCTGTGGACATATCGAGGCACTTGTGGTGGTGGTACCGTACTGGGCGGATTGACAAGCAGCTGTGCTGTCGTGCACAAATGGGTGCCCAGTCGCCCTGCTGCTCTCTCAGCCATTGAACCGCCCCAGCTGCTGCTGCAGGGCCTGCAGCGCCATGTCGCCATTCCCCTGCCCTGAGGCCTGCAGCAGCCACTGTGCCACCCCTCCCCCCGAACCGGACTGCTGCTGCAGCAGCGCCAGCAGCTGCTGCTGTGCGTGTGCCTGCGGCTGCTCTGTGTGCGCCCTCTGCTGTGATTGCTGCTGTGCTTGCTGCTGCCCTTGCACCCACTGCTGCAGTGCCTGCTGCTGCTGCACCTGCTGCTGGGGAAGCTGCGCCTGCACGCCAGTACCCACCATTCCTCCCCCCTGTCGCACGCCCGTCTCCCACTGTGCCGGGAGGAAGGAGTGCTGTGACACTGCTGCGCCTGCCCCTGCCTCCCTGCCGTCCCCCGGCCCCACACCTGCACTGCATGTGGCAGCAGCCGATGCAGCAGGCCCATGGGCGGAGCCTTGCTGCCTCACGGCCGCCAGCCACTCATGGCTCGCATGGGGCCCACGCACACTGCTGCCACCCTGCCCCCCTCCCAGCAGCGCAGCCAGGGAGTTGATGACAGCAGCGCTGCTGCCAGGCACTGTGCCGCTTGCATCACCGGTCGCCCCAAAGAAGCCTCCCCCCACGCCATGCATGGCCTGCCCTGCATTCCCCATCAACAACGACAGCTGCTGCTGCTGCTGCCTTGCTTGCTGCTGCTGTAGCTGTTGCTGATGCTGTTGCTGCTGTTGGTGCTGCTGTTGCTGCTGTTGCTGGTGGTGCTGCAGCAGCAGTTGTACGACAGTGGCGGCATCAGTGCCACCCATCCCTGCCAGCAGCCCGTGAATCACGTTCCCCGCATTGTTCTTCTCCTCCCCACCCACCTTCGCCAGAAGCGCTGCAAGGAGCCCCTCACCACCTGTGTCATGCGCGTTCCACCCCTGCCCTTGCAACACTGCCTGTACCTGTGATTGTGCCTGCGCCTGCGCCTGTGCCTGTGCCTGCGCTGGTGTCTGCAGCAGCGCTGCCAAGGGCAGCATGCCGCCCTGCGCCAGGGCGAGCAGCAGCTGCTGCCTCTGCTCCGGGGCCACTGACAGCAGCGCCTGCCTCACCGCCTCCGCCTGCCTCAAATGCATCTGCTGCTGCGTCTCCGCCTGCTGTTGCACGGCCAGCAGCAGCAGCTTATCCGCAATCCCCACCCGGCTCCCTGCTGCTGCTGCCGCCGCCACCTTTGCTGCAGCTGCTGCTGCGGCTGCATCTCCCCCATCTGCCATGTGCCTCTCCCCACCCGGCCCTCCTCCTGCCGTGCCTGCAGCAGCAGCATGTGCATTGGCAGCAATGAGCCCCAGCAGCAGCCTCTGAGCGTCGCTGCCCACCGCATTGCCTGTAGGGGCGCTGCTTTGCTGCAGCCTCTCCGCCAGACCTTGCTGCTGCATGTGTTGCACCACTTGCCCTGCCACGCCTGCACCACCACCAGCAGCAGCAGGCCCGGCACAAGGCGGTAGTGCCGCTGCGCCTGCATGCTGCCACTGCTGTGACACCGTTTCCTTGCCCGCCTGCCTCCCCACACCACCATTCACTGCCTCTCCATGCCCTCCACGCTCCTCGCTTTTAACGCTCCACGTGTCTGCTCGCTCGCCCCCATGCCTCGCACTGCCCCCGCTTGCAGCAGCAACCACCTGCTGGCCAGGCCGTATAGGGCTCTGTGTGGCTCTCGCCCGCTTGCTCCACTCCTCGCCCCCGCCATGCCCCGTTCCACCGGTCCCAACTGCTCCCTCGCTGCCATCGCTCAGCACGCCCCCCGCCGCCCCCACAGCCGCGCCCATGGCACGATCCACGCCCGCATACCCCGCCAGGGGCTGCCACTCCGCGAGCGCGGGGTGGGGGAAGTTGGTGCGCGCCTTGGGCCCGCGCAGCTTGATGGCCGCGCGGTCGTACGCGCGCGCCGCCTCCTCGGGGGTGCTGAACGTGCCCAGCCACACGCGTGAGCGCTTCTTCGGGTACCGGATCTCTGCCACCCACCGGTTCTCATGCCTCTGCCTCACCCCGCGAAACAGCTTCCCATCACTCACACCCGCCGCTCCTTCTCCGTCCCCTCGCCCTCCTCGGCCCCCCCCTGCACCTCCACCTCCTCCGCTCCCCCCCGTGTCTGGCGACGTTGCATCAGCAGGAGCTGCAAGCTGCATTGTGGTGGCACCCAAGTGAGGTGCAGGGGAGAGCAGCAGAGGGTGGGAGGCGGGTGGGGCGTCATTTGGGGAGGTGTGATGCACGGGCGACATGCTGCCACTGCACTCCAGCAGCGCACCGGATCCGGAATCGCAACCCGAGTCACGCTCATGGGCAGGGGGGAGCGCGAGAGCGCCCCCGGCATGCACTGGAAGCAAGGGGGGGCTCCCGCCACCTGCTGCACCGCCAATCGTCACCCCGCCTCCTGCACTTGGCGCTGCAGGGTCACCGAAAGCAAGGGGGGGCTCAAGAGGTACTGCGGGATTGGCAGCAGCAGCAGCACCGTCCGCTGCGGAAGCGGCTGCATGTGCAGCGTGTGGGGCGACGGAGGATTGATTTCCAAGCTCCTGTGCCACGGACCATCGCTCGTCCTGAGGACGCGCTGCCTCCGCCTCGTCTCCCTGCCGCGCCAAGCCACCTGCCTCGCAACCGCCGCCTGCGCATTGCGTCTGCTGCGTCGCACACTGCCCTACATCCGCCCTCCGATCCTGCACGTCGCCTTGCGTCTCTTCGTCGCCTTGCTTCTCCGCGTCGCCTTGTCTCTCGTCACCGCTCTCTTCCAGTGTATCGCCCTGCTCCACAGCGTCACTGTGATCCACCACTCGACCAAACAGCTGTTGTTGTTCACCCTGCACTGCCCCTGGCCCTTTCGCCGCTCCACTGCTGCTCCCGGCCAGCAGATCTCTCACGCCATGACCCTCGCGTGTCTCTCCCGTGCTTGCACGTACCACGCCCTCTTCGCCCTCGTCCCCCCTCTCGTCCTCCTCTGCTCGAGCAGTGCGTTTATTCGCCTCCACAGCTTCCTGCCCCTCCGAATCGAATTTTCTCTTGGCACGAACCGTCGTCGTGCGCGCATCGTCCATCCTGGCACTCATCTGCGCTCCCCTGTCACCGCGCACGTCGAGTTCGCCGTTCGCGCGCTTACTCGCACTCGTCTCTCCCGTTTCTCCACCATCCGAGACCTCTCCCCTTGTCTCGCCCTCCCCATCGCACCCCTCCGCATCGTCCGCACTGCTGCGGCGCGGCTCTCCCTGCCCCTCCCCTCCCTTCTCCGCCTCCGCACGCCCTGCGCTCGCGCCCTCCCCCTCGTCCCCGTGTCGCGGGCCGCGGTCGTGCCCGTCCTTCCGCATCGCAGATCCGTCGCTCGCCGTCTCGGCCCTATTCTCCCCGTTGCCTGCGACTCGACCTTCGCTGTTCGTCGCATCGGCATGGCCATCAGCTTCCCGCCCCGCGTCTCCCGCCATGATGACCACACTCGCCGCGCCGCGGACCAAGGAGCGGGACACGAACCAGTGTGACGCGAGTCGATGCGCGCTACTGCACTCGAACTCACTTGACGGAGGAACGATGGCAAACAATCCTTGCGCCACAAGAGCAACAACTTTGTCTTTTCTAGTATCTGCTCAGGCGAGGCGTACAGAACTACTACTGACAGGGCTTTTATTCGGCTTTGACTGTTCCAGGTCTCGCGCGCACTGGCGTCCGGGTCATGTCAGGGTCGTACTAAGTCAGGTACGCGGTCGTGCGTGTCGCGGTCTTAAACTAGTACTACTTAGTAGTTAGGTGTCAGGGTCGTACTAAGGTGTTCAGGGAACCACACAAAAATTCTCGAAAATATAATCGTGGATATGTCACAAGGCGAGGCGAATGGGAGGGAGGGCAAATCGTGCTTGCGACAAGGAGCCGACGAGGAGACAGGTGGCGAGTGGCGAGTGGCGAGTGGCGGAAGTGAACGACTCGTTGCTGCATGGGCTTGGCGCTCCCCGCCCGACCGCCCACCTTGGACAGCCACCTGTTTTCCCCCTCACCCGCCCACCCACCATGGTTCATGGTTCATGGTTCGCTGGCCATTTGCGGAAATTGGGGAAGGCCCGAAACAAGGTGCCGCCACCAAGCCATCCATGCATTGGGCGGCCTTCCCAAGGGGCCCACCGCATTGCCCACCGCATTGCCTGTAGGGGCGCTGCTTTGCTGCAGCCTCTCCGCCAGACCTTGCTGCTGCATGTGTTGCACCACTTGCCCTGCCACGCCTGCACCACCACCAGCAGCAGCAGGCCCGGCACAAGGCGGTAGTGCCGCTGCGCCTGCATGCTGCCACTGCTGTGACACCGTTTCCTTGCCCGCCTGCCTCCCCACACCACCATTCACTGCCTCTCCATGCCCTCCACGCTCCTCGCTTTTAACGCTCCACGTGTCTGCTCGCTCGCCCCCATGCCTCGCACTGCCCCCGCTTGCAGCAGCAACCACCTGCTGGCCAGGCCGTATAGGGCTCTGTGTGGCTCTCGCCCGCTTGCTCCACTCCTCGCCCCCGCCATGCCCCGTTCCACCGGTCCCAACTGCTCCCTCGCTGCCATCGCTCAGCACGCCCCCCGCCGCCCCCACAGCCGCGCCCATGGCACGATCCACGCCCGCATACCCCGCCAGGGGCTGCCACTCCGCGAGCGCGGGGTGGGGGAAGTTGGTGCGCGCCTTGGGCCCGCGCAGCTTGATGGCCGCGCGGTCGTACGCGCGCGCCGCCTCCTCGGGGGTGCTGAACGTGCCCAGCCACACGCGTGAGCGCTTCTTCGGGTACCGGATCTCTGCCACCCACCGGTTCTCATGCCTCTGCCTCACCCCGCGAAACAGCTTCCCATCACTCACACCCGCCGCTCCTTCTCCGTCCCCTCGCCCTCCTCGGCCCCCCCCTGCACCTCCACCTCCTCCGCTCCCCCCCGTGTCTGGCGACGTTGCATCAGCAGGAGCTGCAAGCTGCATTGTGGTGGCACCCAAGTGAGGTGCAGGGGAGAGCAGCAGAGGGTGGGAGGCGGGTGGGGCGTCATTTGGGGAGGTGTGATGCACGGGCGACATGCTGCCACTGCACTCCAGCAGCGCACCGGATCCGGAATCGCAACCCGAGTCACGCTCATGGGCAGGGGGGAGCGCGAGAGCGCCCCCGGCATGCACTGGAAGCAAGGGGGGGCTCCCGCCACCTGCTGCACCGCCAATCGTCACCCCGCCTCCTGCACTTGGCGCTGCAGGGTCACCGAAAGCAAGGGGGGGCTCAAGAGGTACTGCGGGATTGGCAGCAGCAGCAGCACCGTCCGCTGCGGAAGCGGCTGCATGTGCAGCGTGTGGGGCGACGGAGGATTGATTTCCAAGCTCCTGTGCCACGGACCATCGCTCGTCCTGAGGACGCGCTGCCTCCGCCTCGTCTCCCTGCCGCGCCAAGCCACCTGCCTCGCAACCGCCGCCTGCGCATTGCGTCTGCTGCGTCGCACACTGCCCTACATCCGCCCTCCGATCCTGCACGTCGCCTTGCGTCTCTTCGTCGCCTTGCTTCTCCGCGTCGCCTTGTCTCTCGTCACCGCTCTCTTCCAGTGTATCGCCCTGCTCCACAGCGTCACTGTGATCCACCACTCGACCAAACAGCTGTTGTTGTTCACCCTGCACTGCCCCTGGCCCTTTCGCCGCTCCACTGCTGCTCCCGGCCAGCAGATCTCTCACGCCATGACCCTCGCGTGTCTCTCCCGTGCTTGCACGTACCACGCCCTCTTCGCCCTCGTCCCCCCTCTCGTCCTCCTCTGCTCGAGCAGTGCGTTTATTCGCCTCCACAGCTTCCTGCCCCTCCGAATCGAATTTTCTCTTGGCACGAACCGTCGTCGTGCGCGCATCGTCCATCCTGGCACTCATCTGCGCTCCCCTGTCACCGCGCACGTCGAGTTCGCCGTTCGCGCGCTTACTCGCACTCGTCTCTCCCGTTTCTCCACCATCCGAGACCTCTCCCCTTGTCTCGCCCTCCCCATCGCACCCCTCCGCATCGTCCGCACTGCTGCGGCGCGGCTCTCCCTGCCCCTCCCCTCCCTTCTCCGCCTCCGCACGCCCTGCGCTCGCGCCCTCCCCCTCGTCCCCGTGTCGCGGGCCGCGGTCGTGCCCGTCCTTCCGCATCGCAGATCCGTCGCTCGCCGTCTCGGCCCTATTCTCCCCGTTGCCTGCGACTCGACCTTCGCTGTTCGTCGCATCGGCATGGCCATCAGCTTCCCGCCCCGCGTCTCCCGCCATGATGACCACACTCGCCGCGCCGCGGACCAAGGAGCGGGACACGAACCAGTGTGACGCGAGTCGATGCGCGCTACTGCACTCGAACTCACTTGACGGAGGAACGATGGCAAACAATCCTTGCGCCACAAGAGCAACAACTTTGTCTTTTCTAGTATCTGCTCAGGCGAGGCGTACAGAACTACTACTGACAGGGCTTTTATTCGGCTTTGACTGTTCCAGGTCTCGCGCGCACTGGCGTCCGGGTCATGTCAGGGTCGTACTAAGTCAGGTACGCGGTCGTGCGTGTCGCGGTCTTAAACTAGTACTACTTAGTAGTTAGGTGTCAGGGTCGTACTAAGGTGTTCAGGGAACCACACAAAAATTCTCGAAAATATAATCGTGGATATGTCACAAGGCGAGGCGAATGGGAGGGAGGGCAAATCGTGCTTGCGACAAGGAGCCGACGAGGAGACAGGTGGCGAGTGGCGAGTGGCGAGTGGCGGAAGTGAACGACTCGTTGCTGCATGGGCTTGGCGCTCCCCGCCCGACCGCCCACCTTGGACAGCCACCTGTTTTCCCCCTCACCCGCCCACCCACCATGGTTCATGGTTCATGGTTCGCTGGCCATTTGCGGAAATTGGGGAAGGCCCGAAACAAGGTGCCGCCACCAAGCCATCCATGCATTGGGCGGCCTTCCCAAGGCTCGGGCAGGCATGCTTTGGTGAAAGGAATGAGGACAGAGTAGTGAACTGTACAGAATCTTGATGCTGGAGGGGAAGGTGGTTGCTGGTGACAGTGGAAAATGCTGGAGCTTATCTGACGGTTGAGAGGGAAGCACGTCAGCAGCATATCGTACCCCCTGCGATGTACAGTGTTTATACCAGCCCGTGACAAACATGAGCCTGCGATCACCCCACCCTTCACCTAAAATCATGTATCCCCTATATTGAACATACACACATGGCCTCATCTATTGTATCATAACTTGATGTTATAGTTGGACATTTAAAGAATCATAAGATTGATTGAAGCCCTGAAAGTTTAATAGAACCAGACGAATTGACGTTTTCTGTGACCTTCCAAAAACAAATACCAGTAAACGCAATATGTTTCAATCCCCAATTCTACGCCTCACAAATTCGTGTAGCGATATAATACTGCATCAATGCAAATGATTTTGTCATCGGTGTGGTTCTTACTTACAAGCCTAACGGTGTATCAGAATGCTGTAATTGTCTAGTCTGCAGTGGGGTACTCTATAGTGAGTACAGCCCAAATTAGGGTTGGCTATATGTATCATATCTGCTGCTAGTGCAATCCCTCTTTTTCTGTTATCTTTTCTCCATCGTAAAACCTAAACCCTAGTCATGGCTACTAAGCTCTAGCTAAGACTTTAACATGCTATCAGAGCGAGATCGCTCCTGGCCTGTGGGCCCACCTGCTTCCGCTGCTGTCCTACCCGTCGCGAGCCTCGGGCGCGCGACGTCTTCTGCATCCCGCGCACCCTGCGCGCGTGGCGGTTTTTCTTCCCGCCGCGCGCCCCCGCCAAGCGCTCGGGGCGAGTGGCGGTTTCCTGCCCGCCGCGCGCCCCGGGAGCGCGCAGCGGTTTCGTCGTCCGTCGTGGCGCCTCGGGGGCCCGCACGCTGTCCCCTCCCGTCGCCCGTCGTGGCGCCCTGGAGGCCTGCGCGTCGCCCCCCCCCTCCCGTCGTCCGCCGCGGCGCCCTAGGGGCCCGCGCGTCGCCCCCCTCCCGTCGTCCGTCGTGGCGCCCCAGGGGCCCGCGCGTCGCCCCCTCCCGTCGCCCGTCGTGGCGCCCCGGGGGCCCGCGCGTCGCCCCCTCCCGTCGCCCGTCGTGGCGCCCCGGGGGCCCGCGTGTCGCCCCCTCCCGTCGCCCGTCGAGGCGCCCCGGGGGCCCGCGCGTCGCCCCCTCTCGTCGCCCGTCGTGGCGCCCCGGGGGCCCGCGCGTCGCCCCCTACCGTCGCCCGTCGAGGCGCCCCAGGGACCAGCGCGCCGCCCTGCTTCCGTTCGCCCGCTGCCCCAGCTGCTGCCTGCGTATCTGCCCCGCGCCGCGCGCGCGCCGCCTGCGTTGGGGGTATGGGGGTGGCGGGTGTGTGAGCCGTCCCCTGCTCCTCCTCCTCCTCTGTCTCCCACTGCTGCAGCTGTCACTGAGGGGGGTGGGTGTGTGGGAGCCAAGGGAGTGGCGCTAGGGGGGTGCCGTGGGAGTGGAACTAGGGGTGCATAGGGGGGTGTGTGAAAGGGGGTTTGCGACAGTGGGGAAGGTTGAGCGGAGGTAGCCGTCGTGTCGCCAGCAGCGCGAGTAGTCCGGAGCCGGCGTGCTCCGGTAGCCCAGCGAGCCTACTGCGCCAGTCGCCCGAGGGTCCGTTGCTCCTGTCGCTCGTCTTAGCCGCGGAGCCAGTTACTCCTGTAGTCCGGGGCCCTTGCTCCGGTAGCCACTCCGTGTGCGCGGTTCCTGTTGCCCGTGTGTCTGCGGCTTCGCCCGTCGCTTCCTATCTCCACTCCTCTCACAGTCCCTCCTCCTCCTTACTTGCCTGCCTCTAGCTTTGCTTGTGTTTGTGCACTTATTATGTGACTCCTTGCTGTGTTGATTATACCCCACTTTGACTATGGGGGTGTGTTAGAATGTGTTATTTGACTAGTTTGCAGTGGGGTACTCTATAGTGAGTACAGCCCGATTAGGGTTTGCTATTTGTATCCTATCTGCTGCTAGTGAACCCCCCTTTTCATGTTTCAACATTCTTGCTCGTTAATTTCTGACAGGGTGTTGTTATGTTATCACATTGAGGTATATGTTAGAAAAACATCTCTGGGATGCCCGATTGATACAACGGAAATGTGCCTAAAAACCAACAGTATTGATGTCCGATTGATACTAGAGAAAAGTTACAGGCTTGCTGGCTTGGGGGGTTATGGGCGCGCTGACCCACTACTTAACAAGCCCTTATATCCAAGAGGTCTAATGACTGAGATACCGACATGTTATTAGAGCAAGGATCTCGGTTTCGAATCCACATGTGTGCACATGATGGCGATGCCGCTTTGTCGTGTCCTAAAGCATCAATTTGCGGAAGGGGTGTTTGAAAACCAACAGTGTGGATGTCCGATTGATCCTAGGGAAGGGCAACAGGCTCGCTGACCTGGGCGGTTATAGGTGCAGTGACTCGATACCTAACAAGACCTTTTATCTCAGTGGTCTAGTGGTTGGGATTCTGACAAAATGTTACAGGTTTAAACCCGTGGAATTATCAGCGTACGGATCCGTTACTTGAAAAAAAACCTTTTATCACACGGGTCTAGCGGTTGGGATTTTGACATGTGTGCACATGTTGACGCTGCGGCTGTGCCGTATCTTCTGACATTCCTTTAAGAAGGGGTGTCAAAAGACCAGCACCGGTGATGCTGGACTGATCATGGGGAAGGGTTACAAGTGCAGGATTTGGGGGGTTATGGGCGTACGAACTCGCTGATAAGTTGTTGCTGGGGGCTTGCTGTGTGTTCTAGTGTAGCTATAGTAACTTGTTAGTGGTGCACCAATGTGCTAACATTTCTTTGCTATATCCTGTACCCTCGCTGTAGTGAACCCCACTTCCTTCCTGTTTCTCTCACTCACGCTACCCCAAACCCTAAGGCTACTATTCTAACATGGCACAGAGCAGGTTCCTCTTAAGGACCTAATCTTTTCCTTAAAGACATGGCTGCTACAGCACCCCCTAAGGTGCTCTAGCGCCTACCCGTCCCGTCCCGTCGCGCCTGCTGCCCTGCCCGTTCGCCGCGGCGCCCGATTCCCGTCGCCGCGGCGCCCGCTTCCCATCGCCGCGGCGCCCAGCGTTCCGTCGTCGCGGCGCTCCCCTTCCCGTCGTCCGCGGCCCCCGTTTCGTTGCCCCGCGGCCCCCCCCGTCGCCCTGCGGTCCGCGCCAGCGCCAGCGCCAGCCCCTGCGACTGCCGCCAGCACCAGCGCGGAACGCAAGCGCCAGCGCCCGCGCCACCGTCACCGCCAGCGCGGAACGCCAACGCCTGCATCAGACGCGAAGCGCCAGCGCCAGCAGCTCCGTACGCCGCCCCCCCCCACCTTCCCTTCCGCGGCTTCTGCCGTGGGAGGGGGGGAGGGGGGGAGATGAGGGGGTGGCGGGGGTGATCAGCCAGCAGCCTGTCCCTCCCCTCTCTCTTCCTGCAGGGCTTGTCGCCGTGGAGAAGAGGGGGGGGGGGGGAAGTGGAAAAGGGTGAGGGGGTGGCGGAAGTAGAAAGGTGCGGAGGGTGTGAGGTTCAAGGGGTTCAGTGACAAGGGGGGTGAGGACTTGGGGGTTATTCACAGAGGGGGATCGCTATGAGCGTGCGCGCTCATGCCCACCTAGCCCACCTCCTCTCCTCATCGGGACCTGGGGGTTATTAACGGGGGGGGATCGCTATGAGCGTGCGCGCTCATGCCCACCTAGCCCACCTCCTATTCCTTTCCTCTCTCACCTCCCCCTTTGTAAAAGGAGGTTCGTAAGCGGGTACCCCGGGCATTGAGTGTGCGCGCTCATGCACGCCCCCACCTCCTCTCCTCTTCTCTCCTCTCCTCTCGCCTCCTCCTCCTTCCTTACCTCTCTACCCTCTTCCGCTGCGCCACGTGTACCTGTACTAGTTATCACGGCAAGCAGGTTAAGGGGGTGTGTTAAGTTGTGTTATATACCCTGTTTGCTGTGTGTTCTAGTGTAGCTACAGTAACTTGTTGGTGGTGCACCAATGTGCTCACATTTCTTTGCTATATCCTGTACCCTCGCTGTACTGAACCCCACTTCCTTCCTGTTTCTCTCGCTCACGCTACCCCAAAACCTAAGGCTACTATTCTAACACTCACTACTTACAGTACCGTCATCGCCCGGATATAAGACATATATGTCTTATCTCGTACACGGGCAAAAATGCTTGAGTTATCTTGTAAACGGGATGGTTTAGGGTGTCTTATAATTCTTATAAATGGAAAAAAATTTAAGTTGACTGTAACACTTGCAAAGTGTGTAGAAAACACCTAGGGACCAGATTCATTGAAACAGGCCGACCTCGGTGGTGATGCAGCAAAGCTGCCACCGCTGGCAAGATTCCTCTGTGCTGGCAGCATCTAATGATGCTGCCAGCGTCGTTTTGCTGCCAGCAGCGCATGGCAGCTTCCAGAACGCTGCTGGCAGCACGTTGGCAGCGTCAGGCTGTCCTCTACGAGGAGATGCCTCGTAGAGGAGCGGCTCGGCACCTGTGGATGGGGCACTCTGGCTGGGGGGGGTAGTCGGGCTTTCACTTGATTTGGTGCTCATGGAGGTTGAATTCTCACCTCAACCTTGCTCTCGGCAGGCTCTCTAACCATGCGCAGCAAGGTACCCCTAGGCAAGTCCTCACCTCGTCCTCACGTACAGGTGAATAACTACGGGCGAATTAACTCGCCCGTCGATGACATCCGCGTAGCCATGGCGAAGAACGCGAGCAAGGCGGGAAGTCCTACCGCCGCCTCCGGTGCGAGCTGTGACGGGGAAGACGGAGACGAAGCACACGGCGACGACGCCGAGGAGGATTGGCCGGAGAACGGCCACGATGACAGCGCTTCGGGCGACGAATTTGGTACTGCCGACATCGAGGAGGACGAATGGTGGAATCAGCCGGTCGGGAGCGACGACGAGGTGGAAGAGTGGCGGGCTGGTGATTCCGACAACGACGGAGGTGAAGATGCTGGCGGTGACAACGCGGAGGCACAGGAAGCGGCGGTGGATGCGAATGAGGCTGCCGACGAGGCGGCGGCGGAACTCGAGACAGAGGCGCCTGCGGATGCGGACGCGGTGGCGGAGGCGAACAAGGTGGCTGCGGATGCCGTCTTATTTGAGGGTGAGGGCGACGGCGACGACCCGTGGAGCCTTGGGACAGACGACGACGTTCCGCTACTGAAGCGGAGGCTGCGCCATCGCCTACAGTCCACGACGAAGCGCGCCCGCGTGGTGCTCTGTGACGACGACAGTCCCGGGGAGGAGCGTCGCCCCCTACTCACCGCTGCGGAGAAGGGAAAGGCAAAGGTCGTGGAAGCCCCTGCTAAGTCCCCTGCTAAGGCCCCTGCGAAGGCCCCTGCTCGTGGCCGCACAAGCAACAAGAAGCGCAAGGACGACGGAGACCCTGGATCCAGCAAGGGTGCGGCAAAGAAAAAGGCGAAGAAGGCGCCGAATCCTGACGACATCATCGTCAACGAGGCGTTGGGCAGCGACGATGAGTACGCGGCGGCGGCGGGCCCGATTCCCACGTTCCCTGAGAAGGAGGCGCCGAAGGACCCCACCCTCCATAATCCCAACACCCGCCCACCTTCCCCTCGCAGCAAAGACACTACGAAGAAGCGCCGCGGCTGGACCGTGCGTGAGAAGGTTAAGTGGGCGCGCCGCTATCAGGAGCTCGGCTCCTTGAAGAAGACTAGCTTGGAGTCAACCGCGAGCGTCGCCTGCATCAGACGCTGGTGCGCGGAGGCGGCTGCGGGCATCTACAAGGGCGCGGCTAACTGCCGCAAGCGGATGCACGGGGGGGGGCGCCACGCACACTACCCCGACATGGAGGCAGCGTTGTACCGCTACATCTGCCTTCATCGCGCTAACGGGGTGGCCATCTCGGTGAAGGACACCCAAAAGTGGAGCCGCGAGTGGATGAAGAAGCATTACCCCGGCAAGAACTGGAACGCGAGCTCTCACTGGAGCCAGCGTTTCCGTGACCGCTGGAACCTGGTGATGCGGGTGAAGACGAAGGTCGGACAGCGTCTGTCGGTAGGTGCGTGGATAAGGAGTTCGTGCCGCGCACGGCCCATTGTATGCATGTCTTACCTTGCTCGTTGTCTAACCGTCCCTCGCTTCTGTTCCTGTCCCGTTTGCAGAGTGCGCGAAGGACTGCGAGTCCTTCTGGAAGTTCGTGCGCATCAACAGGGCGCGGCACAACATCGACCTGGCCCGTATCATCAACGCGGACCAGACGCCACTGTTCGTGGAGATGCCGGCCGAGAGGACGATCGAGCACCGTGGCGCGCGCTCGGTCCCAATCCGCACTGCAGGCTACCAGAAGACGCGCTTGACGGTGATGCTCGCGTGCACTGCATCCGGGGAGAAGCTGCGGCCGTGGGTGTGGTTCAAGATGAAGAACGTCCCCAACTGTGAGATTCCGGACGGTAAGCGCCATGACTTCAACCTTGCCCCTGCCTCATGAGCGTGCCCCACTGTGCTGATGTCCGTCTGTCCCTTGTGTGCCTGGCAGGAATCGTGGTCCAAGCACAGGACAACGGGTGGATGGACGAGAGCGCTGTGCAGACCTGGCTGTCCAAGGAGGTGCTTCCCCATCTGAACCCCCAGCGCGGCAAGAGCGCGAGGCGTGCGATGCTGGTGTTGGACTCCTACCGCGACCACATCACCCAGACCATGCTTCAGTCGTACCGCACGCACAGCATCACCCCTGCAGTCATTCCAGCGGGTTGTACGAGCCAGATTCAACCCCTGGACGTCTCCATCAACCGGTGCTTCAAGGCTGCCGTGCGAGCGCGCTACGCCAGGTGGTTCATGCGTGAAGGGATTCACCTGAAGACGAAGAAGGGTGAGTTGGCTGTTCATTTTAAATTCCTGCTCTGTTTCGTGTCCTTATCGTTAACATCTCGCTGCCGTGTCCTCTGTCCCACCCGCAGGGAACCTGCGGAGGCCTCCGCACCCCGTGGTGCTGCAGTGGATCGCGGAGGCTTGGGATCAAGTCCCCAGGCAGATCATCATCGACGCGTTCCGCCACTGTGGGATCTCCAGCAAGCTGGACGGAACGGAGAACCACCTGGTGATGTCTCACCTGCGCGCTAGGAGCACCACCGATGTCTCCGAGGACATGTCCCTCGGGGGGACCACAGGCGACAACACGCGCCTGCTTCGGAAGGCTCCAGAGGAGGAGGAGGAGGAGGAGGAGGAGGAGGAGGAGGAGGAGGAGGAGGAGGAGGAGGAGGAGGAGGAGGAGGAGGAGGAGGAGGAGGAGGCGATGCAGGCGGAGGGCGTGCGGGAGGTGGCCGTGGCAACTGGCCTGGAGGTGCTGTACCAGGAGACCCCCAACTACCGCGGAGCGGCGGCCGAGGCTGACCGCATGATCGAGCCAAGGGAGACGGCTAGGCATGCCTGGCGAGTGCCAGACCTGGGCGTAGAGCCTGTTGCTAGTGCTGCAGAGGAGGCGGTTACTGAGGGGGGTTAGGTAGAAGTAGGGATTCATGAATGTATGGATGTACCCCCCTAAAGTAGTGTAGGCTCGTTTAGAAGACACCCCCTGTTTATAAGAAAACCCCTAAACCCCGGTTCTGATTATAAGACATATATGTCTTATCTCGTACACACAAATAGGTGTCGTATAAAAAGGCTTGCCTGTTTATAAGAGACACCCGTATAGTAGACAACCCCTGTCTACTATTCAACACTGTCTTATATCCGGGCGATGACGGTAACAAGACTTTGTATCTCTGTGATATAATGGCTATGATTCTGATAGCAAGTGATGCATTTTGCACAATGACAATATTAGGGTACGTTCCTGTGGAGACACTTGTGTCTCAATCCCCTTTTTTCCGAGTCGCGTCTACACATTTTTGCAATCTCGCGTCACAAAAAATGAGTGTATCACGAAACTGTGCGACCAGGCGAAATTTACAGCTGTGCTCATTTGATTGGATTTCAAACTTGACTGAACACCTGCTTCTTCAACTGTCTGGTTCGGGTGGTGTTTTGACGAGCGAAACTTTTTCCCGCGCGAGATTTTTACTATGGAATGTCCAGGTGCATTGACATTTCGAACCGCGTACAGAGTTGTTGACAATGACGGGTCGATACGCAACTCGTCCGCGACATCAGCGCGTTTCACGCTGACAAATGAAAAATACATTAAAAGTCGCACAAGGGCGACACGCGTTTGTGACATTGTACGTTATAAGCTGGTTTTACGCGTCACAAAAGGATTGAGACACAAGTGTCTCCACAGGAACGTACCCTTAGTCAAGATTATGATTCGTATCAACGGAGATAATTCCAATCCATTTTTTTTTTTTTCAGGAATATCCCAGCGACTGCGATCCATATTTTTTGCCGAGGTTCGCAAGGAGAATTGCGCATCATGGCTTTGAAAGATGATTTTTATAATTTCTGATTATTCTCCATCAACCTGCTCTTTGGTGGTGTTGGGGCCTTGTAACGAACGATCCACCCGCGGCCGCTGCTGTTCTTTGCGCACCCGTCACCCGCTTGTTCAACTGCCGCTGTCCTTGTGAACACTATTGGAACCCAACCCAACCATTTGGTTTTCAACAGCCCAAACCCTAAAAGTGAGTGATATGCAAGCAAGGCGTTTCAGGTCGATAATCACAGCACACTCCTGTCCTCCAGCCACGATGATGGCCGTTCGAGTCGCCATTATCGCCGGAACTTTAGACAAGTGTCAGGAAATATAATTTTCAGCAATGCGATTAAATCTCCCCAGCACCACCGCCAGCCAAAAGCCCCGATGAACTTGCTCAGGCAGCGAGTGGCAGGACCGTCTGGACTAGGCGGAGGGAGGAAGGGGGCGACGAGTGGAAAGACGAATGGCGCAAGCGCCGATGGTGAGGAAGACAATAGTGGAGGAGTGGACGGTCAAGGCGACGGAGTGTCTCTTCCACCGGGGGACGATTGGACTCGTCGCAAGTGGCCTGATTTGGGCAGCAGCGGGAGCAGCTTCAGCCTGAGCAGCAGCAACAACAGCAACCCCACGTTTTCTGGTTTCCCCCCGCCACCTGTCGCCAACAATGGCTCCGCTAGTCCTGAGCGCAAGCTGGGCTGGCGCCGTCGCTCGCTCTCCGTCTTGCCGCACAAGGCCGCTCTCAGATCAACCTCCCCCCTCCGCGGCGTCTTCCCCAGCGTGCAGTCGCTGGGCGGCGGAAAGGAGTCGGCGGCGGGAAACGCGCGGGCTCAGCGGAAGGGCGGGGGCAAACTCGCCAGCGAAGCGGAACGCGCGGGGGCAATGCCGGTTGGGGGAGCCGCCGGAGCAGCAGGTGGGCCGGCGGGCGCGGTGATGAGGCGGCAGGGGCTGAACCTGGGTCCGCGGGGCTCCCCGCAGGGGCTGAACGCGCTAGAGGACGTGCTTAAGGGCGGATGGTCCTCCGCCGAGTCCTCGCCCGCCGTCACCCCGCAGCGCTCCATGACCGTTGGGGTCGACAGGACCGGCGCTAGGAGGGGCGGCGGGGCTGCTGCGCCAGCTTTCGCCTCGCCGCCCTCTTTTGGCGGGTGGGAAAGGCGAGCCGCGGCAGAGGAAGCGGGAGGAGCGGGAAGGGCGTCAGACCTGGGTGGGTGGGGTGACGGGGAGGAGGGAGGTGCTGTGGCGAGGGGTAGCGGGCTAGGAGGCGAGGCGGTCATTCTGGGAACGGGAATGACGGCGGCAAGCGCGGGGATGGGGGCTGGACATCCGCGGATGGTAGGCGCGCAGGCAGGAGGTGGTGGGAGCCCATTGCGCGCAGCGGTGGGCCTGAGTGGTAGCGCGGAGGACGGGAGAACTGGTGTGGAAGGTAGGTGGGGCGATGAGGAGCGAGGGCAGAAGAGGGCGATGCGGTCCAAGACGGGCGATGGGGCGGCGGCATGGGCGGGATGGTCGCACGCAGGCGAGGGGTGGCGGGCGGACGCGGGGAACGGAGGGGAGGCGCAAGAGCACAGGGACGCGACCGGCGCGCAGGTGCTGGGGCGGGCGTGGAGCAGGGCGGGGGAGACAGCAAACGGCATGGGCGGGGGCAGAGGGGCAGCAGCGGAAGGCGCAGGGGGAATGGGGAGCAACAAAGGAGCCCTGCCAGGCGTGTGGGGCGGGAGGGGGGCAGGGGGCTTAGGGAGACCTGCTGTGGGGAGGCTGGGCGGCGGGGCAATGCATGGGGGGAGTGTGGTGGGCGCAGGCCAGGGGAGAGTAACGGCGATAGCACGTCACCGCAGTCAGAGTCTGGCGGACCTGCTGCAGACGCAGACAGGCGCAGGGGGGAGGTCGGAGGGCGAGGCGGATGGGCGCGGCGAGGACAGCGGGAGTGGCAGTGATGGGGAGGGGGAAGGGGAGAAGTGCATGCGGCGGGGCTTCAGCCTGAACGCCAGTGGCAGCAGCGCGGGGGGCAGCGGCGCGCATGTGAGCCACAGCGCCCTGGGACGAGGTGGCGCGCATGTGCTGCGCCCTCCGCATCTCCCCAGCCCCAGCCTGAGCGCGCTCCCCTTGCTCTCCCACGCCTCATCCGTTCCCACCGTTGCTCCCCAATGGAGGGGCCCGCGGGAGGGAGGGGAGTGGCCAGGGAAGGCGGCGGAGCAGGTGGAGGAGCGGGAGAGGGAGGCGAGAGGGAAGGGAAGAGGGGGAGGCGGCGGGAAAGGCGTAATTGATGGGCGGTTTGCGTGGGACGTTCCGTGGCAGGGACTCGTGAAGGGGGAGGGAGGTGATGCACAGGAGAGGACATGGGACGAGGAACGCAGGCAGGGCGGGCAGGGAGGGCGGCAGCGCAAGGAGCGAGAGGAAGGAGGTGGTGGTGAATTGGAGAGGGAGGGGACTGAGGAGAGCAGTGAGGAGTGGGAGGAGCAGGAAGACGGGAGGGCGAAGAACGGCGGAGTGCGAAAGGAGCAGGATCTAGACGAGACAGAGAGTGAGAGCGATGGGGAGAGCACGAGTGAGAGAGGTAGCGGTGGTGTGGAAGAGGAGGGGTCTGAGGGCGAAGGCAGCACGGGTGAGAGTGCGCACTGGCAGCAGCAGGGCGGACGTGTGAGCGAGCAGGGAAACAGTGGCAGTGGGGAGGGGTCGGTGGTGATGGTGGAGAGCGACAGTGATGCAGACGTGCAGAGCGATGCAGCGTGGCACAGCGACGCTGATGGGCGCAGTGCTGCCCCCTCTCACGCTTCCTCCGAGGGTGCTCACAGTGACGCTCGTGGTCATGTTGTGGTTCAGGGGAGAGGACATGCAAGCGATGGGAGGGTTACTAGGGGGTACGGTGGTGAGGGTGGTGGTGGTGGGGTGGAGGAGAGAGCAGGGCGCGAGCAGACTGCAGTAGATTTGAAGGTACGCGGGAGAGAGCACGGACAGCTGTTGAAAGGGGGGAGGGATGAGGAGGAGGAGGAGGAGGAGGAGGAGGAGGAGGAGGAGGAGGAGGAGGAGGAGGAGGAGGAGGAGGAGGAGGAGGAGGAAGGGGAGGAGGAGGAAGAGGAAGGGGAGGATGACGAGGTGGTAGATGCAGTGCCTATATCGCCCACGATGCTTGCTCTCCTCACATCCTCCACCACGGCTTACCCCCACCCGTACCCGCTCTCGCCCTTGCACCATGCGGCCTCCCAGCCTCCCATGCACATGCTGAAAGCCAGCAGCAGCAGCAGCGGCAGTGGCAGTGGCGGCAGGCGACTGACAGGGAGTGGGGGCTCTGGTAGCTGGGGCGGGCAGGCAAGAGGCTCAGGCTCAGCGCAGGAGAGTGGAGGACAGGGAGGAAGGCTGGGTCGACCCGCAAGTACAAGCGCTGCCGCTTTCCATACACGACCCCTCTCTCCTGCTGCTCTAGCACCTGCTGCTGTCACCGCCAACAGCAACAGCATCAGCAACAGCAACATCAACATCAGCAGCAGTGGCAGCGGGGGCAGCAGCAGGGGCAAGAAGGCAACGCTTCCCTGTGCGCCCCTGCCTCCTCCCGCCGCCCCTGTTGCCGGAGGCTCCAGGGCACCTGCTGCTGGTGGGCATGGGCGCAGGAGCAGCGGGGGCAGGGGGAACAGGGGGAAGCAGCGCGTGAGTGAGGGCGGCAGTGTGGTGTATTGGAGCAGTGGCAGCGGTGGCAGCTGGGGTGGTAGTGGTGCTGACTGGACTCTCACTGACCTTGCTGCCCCTTCCACCTCGCCCACTGACCCTCAACATTCTCCACAAGACATACCGCAGGTGACGTGCAGGGCAGGTGACGTGCAGGGCAGGTGACGTGCAGGGCAGGTGACGTGCAGGGCAGGTGACGTGCAGGGCAGGTGAGAGGGCGAGGGGTGATACGTGTGTAAACATCTGCGCGTACACTGGTGAACCTACTACTCTCAGCCCAGTGCATGCGATTTACTGTTCATGGGCTCAGCATGGGACGCGGTGGGATGCCCGCCCCTGTCCAGCAATGCCTGCCACACACTCAGCTCCGTAGCATCTTAGAGCTGCTCGTTTTCCCATCTCACTCTCCCTCGTGCCCTGCTGTGCTCGTCGCCTCACTGCAGGTGGCACCACCCCAAGCTGCGTACAAGGCCAGCCCTGCCACTCCTTCCACGTCCACCCATGCCACCGCTGCTGCACCTGCCACCACCGCCACCACCGCCACCACCGCCACCACCGCCGGTCCTCTGAACACCAGCAGCAGCCCCGGCAGCCACTTCCCCCTTCGGCCTTCCCCTGCCTTTGCTGCTGCCAGACCCCCCCGCCAACCGGCAATGCCAGGGGCACAGGCAGCGGGGGGAGGGGGATCAGCAGGAGGCGAGGGGGGGGATGGAGGGGAGTTCGGGGCGCGGGGCAGGAGAGAGGGTTCGGAGAGGAGGGCCCTGAGTCAGGTGCATGGAGGGGTGGAACCAAGTGTGGTTGCTGTTGCTGTTGCTTGCTTGCTCTTGCTATGCTGTTTGAGGCACGCCTCTTCTTTCCATCTCAGCCTGCTTCCCTGCCCCCGTGTTGCTCCGTGCACGACCACCATGTGCAGATCCCGCCACTCGATTCCCCATCACCCACGCACGCGTCACCGTTTGCATCACCGCACGTGCCAGCAGCCGCCGCCTTCCCCTCCTCCTCGTCCGTGCCAGCCTGCATGCCCTCCTCCCGCTTCGCCCCCTCCCCTCCGCCCTTCGCTCTCGCCTCCCTGCGCACCTCGTCCCTGCAGCCCTCTGCTGACCCAGCAGCAGCACCAGGGGGCTCGCCACCCGTATTCTCCAGTGCATCAGCAGGTGGTGGGCCCGCAGCGGCCTCACCATCAGCACCCAAGCCATTGACCTATCCAGTACCATCAACAGGATCAGCGGCAGGAGGGCAGCGTGTGTGTGTGCGGTGTGAGGGAGTGGAGATACCCAAGCAGGCGCGCATAGGCGGTGACATCACCGTGTGGTTCACCCTTCGTAACTTCTCCAAACGACCGTACGCCCCCCCTCCTCGCTCCCTCTTCACCCCCACCTCCTATCACTCACAACAAAGCATCTGCTGCTCATGGTCGCCTGCTGCCGTGGATCTCGCCCACCCCCTCCTTCCTCATCCCCGGCCTTTGCATTTGGACACCTTCCCCCACTCTTCCCCCAACCCTTCCACCCCCCGTTTCCCGTCACGCCCTCGCCCTCCTCTACGCAGAGTGCGGGGGCAGGTGGAGCTGGTGGTGAGGGTGCAATGGCACACGGAGCAGGGCGAGGCGGTGGAGAGGGAGGCCAGGGAGCTGGCGCTGCCCATGGCGCCCGCAGACCGCACGCGTGTGGACGTCAGAGTGCCCCTCGATGACGCCGCTGCCGCTTTCTCCCACGCCTCGCTCTCCGCACACCTGGTGCTTGCAGGCACGCCCGCACACCACAGGTATGGCGAGGGGTCGGATGGGGAAAGGGTGGAGTGGAGTGGAGGGAGCGGTTTGAGCAGGGGAGGGGAAGGCCTGGGCGCGTGGTGGTGGATTTGGTTGGTCCTGTGCCAAGGCCTTTGCTGTGGACTGCCCCATGCACGCTGTCCAACCCAACTCCTCTTCTCGCTCATCTGCTCGCTCCTCCTCCCGTTCTTTTCCCCTCCTTTGTCGTCCCCCACCCTTCCCCCCTGCCCCCACCAGGCGCAGTGAGGTGCGGCTGGTGCCACCATACACAGGCCACCCCGCGCACATCCTGCTGCTCTCAGACGCCTCGCTCTCCCGCCCTCAGTTCCTCACCTGGCGCTCCATCGCCGCCCTGCTGCACCTCTCCCTCTCCGTCTGGGATATCGCTCTGCACTCCTCCCTGCTCCCCCCTTCCACCCCTTCTTCCTCCTCCGACCCCTCCCAACCGCGCTCCACCGCCGTACCCTCTCCTGCGATTTCTGCAATTGCCGCTAGCAACCCGTCGCTCCCAGCAGAAAGCATGCAAGAGACACGCGCAGAGCAGGTGGCGGGTGCACTGGAGGGCGAGTACTCTCACCTCGCTGCCAGGCCACCGCATGCCGCAGCACCAGGGTCAGTGGGCAGTGGTTGGGGGGGAGAGAGAGGGGGAGGCGGAGGAGGGGGCATGGGCGCGGCGAGTGGGAGTCGGTCGCTGCAGTGGCAGCACGAGCAGCGCATGGCGGCATCCATGAATGATGCTCTGCTCGCCCGCTCCACACAGGGGGGCGCCCATGCGCCCGTGCATGGTGCCGTGCAGCACAGTGCAGCGGAGAGCGTGCGGTCGTGGAACGACGCACCTCAGTTCCGCTCCGCTCCCTTCTCATCCTTGTCTGCTTCCCATGCCCCGCTTGTCGTCTCGGTTGCGCCCTCGCAGCCACGCGTGTTCGCACATGCACACACTTACAGCATGCAGCAACAGGTGCAACAAGTCCAGCTGCTCCCACAGCAACAGCTGAACCAGCATCAGCAGCAGCAAATCGGGTTGAGCAGCAACGGTGCTGCTCGCTTTCACTCCCACTCGCGCCCGCCTGAGCTGGTCTTCCCAACTTCCCCGACTGCCTCCTCCCATTACCCTGCCCCATTGTCTCCCACGTCTCCTTCCCTTGCTCTCCCAGACTCACCTGCCTCCCCACATCCCTCACACCACCCGCCCTTCTCTCCCACCGGTCCCACCTCCGTCTCTCACACCCTCTCCTATGCCCATGACTCCACGCCTGCGGCACACCTCTCATCACGCCATGCGCTGCTGCTGTTGACGCAGAAGGGCCCGCGGGCCAAGCACCTGCGCCACCTGCTGCATAAGGCCCTGCCTCGCGTGCTCGCTTCTGCCACTGTTGCCGCTGGTGGTGGGCAGAATTCTGCTGGCGCTGCTGCTGCTGCGCGTGATGCTGTGGCTGGTGAGTTGCATGTGTTGCTCTCACGTGTGCTCTGCTCGTTACATTTCTGCCACACAAAACGTATCCCGCCATTGCCCTCCACTTACCATCACCATCATCCCTCCCCGCATATTCATCCGATTCTCGCACTCATAATTCGCTGCACAACGCTTTCCCTGTGCCATTCTCGTCTCTCTCCCACGCCCCTCTCCCCTCCTGCCGCCCCCCTGCGTGCAGTGCTGGCGGCGGGCATAGATCCCAGCGACCTGTGTGAGTTCCTGCGAGTCTCCTCGCGCCTCGTGCGCTGCGTGGAAGTGCCTCTTTCACGGATGGGTGACGAGGGTGTGCCTGCTAAGGCCACTCGCAAGGGGAAAGGCAGGGCCAGCATGCTCGCTTGCTTCCGCCCGGTGTCCCCCTTTGCAGCTGCCTCGGCGCACGCGTATAAGCTTCATGTGAGTTGAAGAGTGGCTGTTCCAAGAACCAAGCACGTGTCTGCACATGCTGCGTGCAAGTGGCTTGCCTTGTCCTGAACCCTGCTTTGATCCAAGTCACCCACGAGGTGGTGTCTTCGCCCCACATCCGCAATTCTCTTGCTCGCTCCGTCCGTCTCCTCCCTTCTGGTCCCTGTCTCACACTGGCAGGAGAGCCTGCAGCAGGAGTTTCCAGAGTTTCGCCATTTCGTCTCCATCGACCTGCACTCAACAGACGGGCCTGCCCAATTGAAACATTTCCGCTGCCCGCTGCCGGCCATGCTGCGCGTGCTTGCGCTGCCAACAGAGTCCTTCGACCCCCCTCCAGATGACCTGATAGTCGCGGGGCACCTGGGCGTGGGGGATACATCTGATGAGGACAGCGATGGGGATGGGGATGGTCACAGTGATGCTCATGATGGTGAATATGATGGCGCTCGTGATGGTGATGCTCATGCGGATGGGTATGGGGATGTGGGTGAGGATGGCGATGGGGATGGAGATCGGGATGGGGATGGGGATGGCGATGGGGAAGGATATGATGGCAGTGCATGGGCAGAGCTGGACAGCCATGGGGGCATGAATTCATACGGCAGCAGGGATGCGGGAGATGCGAGTGATGGCAATGCAAGTGACGCCATGGGGGGCGGGCATGCGAATGGCTTTTCGGATTCTGGCACGGTGCTTGACAGCGGTGACTGGGGTGCTTACAGGGATGACAGGGGCCACGGGGGAGCGCAGGCGCACAAGGGAGAGGAGGAGAAGGGCGGCACGAGGAGGGGGAGGTATGCGCGGGGGAGCAGCACAGCGAGTGTGGTGTTTCACGAGGATGCGGACGCGGATGACTGGGGTGCTGGCCTGGGGGGCTACTCCCGGAGCACCACTCTCGGGGGCGGCAGGGAGAAGGACAAGGGGCGAGGGGTGGCGGTGCAAGGTGCTTCGGAGAATGGTTGGGGGGCAGGGGCTTCGGTGAAAGCGTTGCGCGCGTCGTCAATGCCCCGTCAGAGGGCGAGCGGGCAGGCAAAAGGCGGAAAGCACGCTGTGTCTCCTCCCACGCGCCCTCCTGCTCGTGCCACTTCCCGCCCTGCTCCTGCTGCTGCCATTCGCCCTCCCAACCAGCGATACGCCGCCGCTGCTGCTGACGGCTGTGAGGGGCAGGAGCAGGAGGAGAGGGCAGGGCAGCAAGAGCGGCAGTTGAACCGCAACCTGTCTTTCCAGGGCGAGGGGTGGGACGGCAGTGGGGCTCACAGTGACGTGGAGCAGCGGCAGCAGCCGCAACAGCAGGAGGGGCAGCGGGGTGATGCCATGGAGGGCAATCAAGGCTCAGCGTGGACGCCAGGGGGAGGGGGCGGGGAAGACGAATGGGGAAGTTATTCCGAGCCAAACAACAGGATGCAGCGCAGCAGACCACAGCAGCAGCGGCAGCAGCATGGGCGGGGAAACCAGGAGGGCCCCCAGGAATTGAGTTCCCAAGGGCGGCAAGGGAGACGCATGAGATCACGCCCACCACCGGAGCCTCACTCTCCGCCGTCGCCCCTCCACCTGCCTGTGCCAGCCACCCTCCCTGCTGTGCCCAGCGCCAAGGATACCTTTGCCTCCCCGGACTCCACGCCCCCTCTCCCCCGGCGCAGCATCAGCATGGGGCGTGCGACCACGGGGGCGTCCCTGCCGTCGCGGCTGGCGGACATGGTGCGCTCCCTCACGCCCTCCCGCTTCGACTACCGCCGCCATGCACACGAGCAGCGCCAGGGGGCAGAGGAGGAGGCGGGGGAGGAGGGCAGGGAGTTGAGGGCGGTGCAGAGCTTGAACAGCCGTGGCTTCCGAGGCAGCCGCAGTCACGTGAGGGCAGCAGGGAGTGGCGAGGGGGTGGGAGGTGTGGTAACAGTGGCAGCAGGGAGCAGCTTAAGCCGGCTTGGTTTGGGGAATCAGGGGGCGAGCGCAGGGAAGCAGGGCACGGGGAGGGGTAGAGAAGGGGCCGGGAGGCGGTGGGGTGGAGGGAGAGGCGGTGGGAATGGTAGCAAGGGTGAGGGCGAGGGGCCAGTTGAGCTCACGTCCTCGCTCTCCCTCCCCATGTGGGTTTCGGCTCGCAATCAACCCAGGGATGTCAGCCCCACGCGCCTCTCCCTGCCACGTGGCAACCCCTCGTTGCGCCACATCAGCAGCATGGGTGCAAGGACCACGAGTCGAGTGAACTCCCTGGCACGGAGTGTGAACAAAGCGCCCACTGCCCCTAACCGCAAGGGCCACCTGGGTGCCGCTGACCCCCCCACTTCCTACACCCGCAGCCTCAGCGAGAGCCATGCCACTGCTCGCCGAACAACTTTGCCAAACCTGCTGGCGAGCCTCGGAAAGCCACCGAAGCTGGTGCCTTTGGATGGGGAGGGGTCGGAGTACGGGATGGCAGTGGTGGCGGTGCTGTCAGCGCTGCCCATGCGCGCCAAGGTGGCTGCTGCCCTCGCATCGGGCGTGCAACACAGCGCAGGAATGGGTGGTGGCGGTGGTGGAACCTCGTTTGAGGGCTACACAGGCACCTCCGTGCATCGCCTCACCTTGCTGCAGGTACAGTGCTCTGCTCGCTGTGCACGTGTTACGCTGTGCCGGGGCAACCGTTAATCTGCCACGTGCCCACGTGAGTCTGTGCACTGTGATGATACTTCTTCCCACCCATTGTCTCCTGCTCGTGTGTGTGTGTGCCATGCCGTGTGTGCCATGCCGTGTGTGCCGTGCAGGTGGTGGCAGCATGCATATGGGCGGAGCTGCAGTACGATCTCCTCCACTCACGGCCAGCCATAGAAGCAGCAGCTGCAGCAGGGCCCGCCACCTCACATCCCGGTGCCTTCTCTCCCGCACTGCTCCTGCCGCAAGCTGCCGCCCTGCTGGCAGAGCTGGAGCGCCATGCCTCCACTGCGCCTCACAGCACAACCTGGCCACCCCCTGACGATGTCGTTCTCGCTCTCTCCTCCGGCCTCCTGGTCCTCGCCTTCTCCCCCACGCTGCCTGTCTCCGCCACCGCTCCCTCCGCTTCCTCCTTCCTCCGGTCCTCCTCCCTCTCTGCTGCCACCCTCTCCCGCCCCTCTCCTTCCTCGCTTCCTCACAACCCCTCGTCTCAGCCCCTCTCACCAGCAGCAGTAGCGGCAGTGCGAGCAGTGGCGAGCCAGTGTGTGTCACGCCTCAAGGGTCTTCTCTCGGCGCAAGGAGGAAGCCAGGGAAGGCTTGACAGTGGTGGCGGGTGTGATGGGAGGAGGAGTGGGTGGCTGCCTGAGACTGCTGAGGAAGTGGCAGGGATCCAAGCACAGCTGGCAGTAGCACAGCGCGTGCTGCCTGATTGGCTGGGAGTGCACCGCGCTGCACAGGAAGCTGCTGCAGTGGTGTGGGAGGATTGAGGGTGGTGCACGATGGTCAAGTTGATGTTGTGTTCCTTACTAACAGAAGCTACAGCTGGAAAACAACGAAGCATCTGCGTCGCTTGTGGGTGAAGCCATGGGGTGTCACGTCATCACTGGGAGCTTCTACATCCATATGGCTGTGTATATATGGCTTGCGGGTGGTTATGGCATTCACCTCACCGTGCTGATACACCTTGTGTATGCTAACTTATGCTAATTTGTTAATTTATTCATGTTAAGTTCATCCATAATGCTGAAATCATGTTTACCAAGGCAGTGAATATAATTTCGTAAGCCAATTCTCGCGAATCAATCGAAATCATCACCCATCTCGGGCAATCTCAGTGGCGGCTCCATTTTTCCAACGACCAAAACCGAGGGCTGCCTCGAGATTTCCATTTTCCTCTCCCAAGACGTCGTTGCTTGCTGTTGCGCTCGCTCGCCATGGACCCCTCCACTTGCCCTGTCCGTAACACCTTCCGCTACACTAATTGCAGCAGCAAAAGGCCCAGTAGTACTGAATCCACACTGGATGCGCTGCTTCAGCCATGGATAGGTATAATCTCCCCGGCAATTCCGCGAGACGGCAGTGCAAAGGGGGTGCACCGAGGTGCCAGCACACGCTTGCCGTGCTCCTCGCGACCGGCTCCGAGTTCTGCCCGCAATGTCTGTCGGAAACGCTCTCAGGGCCCGGTCTCGCGACGCACAAGATCATATCGGCGCGCTTCTTCCTCGACACGCTTCGATCCGAGCCCGACCTATGCCGTCTGGTCGCGGCCGAGTCGCATTACCTGCTCGCGGCTCCGCTCGTGCAGGCCCTCGCGTGCTCGCGAGACGAGGAACTTGCGGCTACGTTAGCGGACTTGGTGGTCTTTCTAGTGAGCAAGGGGAGCGGTCGAGGCGCAAGGAACGACGCGAGCGGGAGCGACGAGGGGTTGCTGCTGGAGAATCTGGTTCGCGCGGTGGCGGTGGAGATGGATAAGATCCCCGTCGCCTCCTCCTCCAGCGGCCACTGCTTCTTGGTACGCCGCTGCGCCCGATATTCTGCTAGTTGTAACGTCTTCCCTTCATGTCTTCACGTTTTTCATTTGTTTGTTTGTTTTTTTTTGCTCAGCTGGTCCTTCTGGGGAAGCTCCTGACGGTCGCGTGCAACCGCTACAGCGCGTTGCCAGCGTGGTTGGCGCAGCAGAACGGCCTGTGGAGTCACGTGGTCAGCACGCTTCACAAGCAGGCACAGTAGGAATCCTACCTCGCATCAATTCAGTCGAATTCGCTCGTGTATTCCTTTTGTCCCACGTGCGAAGGACATAAACGTTTGTCGAAATCATGGAAGCACGACGAGGTATAGGCTACAGACTCTGATGTGATCCCCACACTACCATGCCTGATACGATTTCCCTCCTGTTCTGGTCGGCTCTTTTCGGTGTTGCAGGGACAGCATCCGTGCAGAGAGCCTGTTCGTCCTGCACAAGCTCTGCAGCCTGCCAGGCGGCATGCAGCTACTGGAAGAGAAGCTGCCTGGCATGGTGTGTGCGGGCATCGCCCTGCTGCTCTCCACGGACAGCAACGACGTCTCTGCCAACTGCGTCGCCCTCCTCACCGCCCTCTCCGCTCCCTCCCACCCTGCCTTCACGCTCTCATCACTCGCTCGTTTAGACCACCCAGAAGCGCAGCAGCCAGGAGGTGCTGCCATGCACGGGCTTGGTTCGCAGGGCTGCGTGGCTGTGGGTTCTCAGAACCCCCGTGCGAGCCAGGCGATGCACACACAGGGCAAGGCCCCCCTGGGCCTGCGCATGATGCTGAGCGAGGGGCTCAAAAAGACTCTGCTCGCTGCTGACTCCGCCCTGCAGCTCGCAGCCCTGCACCTCATCTCCCAACTCGCTCTCTCCTGTGCGCCCTCACATGATGGCTCTGGCTCCGACGAACGGTCCAGATTTGACTGGGTGGCGAGGGAGGCGTGGGAGGTGGACTGGTGTAAGCAGGATGATATGAGGGGGGGTGATGGTGGGGGGATGGTGGATGAGCGGGGAGCAGCGGCGCTACAGGCGATGCTGGATGAGGGGCTGGCAGAGCACGTCTTTGAGCTGCTCCGGTCTGCAGATAGCGGTGAGCAACCTCCTTCCTTTCCCAGCCAGTCACTGCAACCGCCTGCTGATGTGCCCCATGCCATCTTGCGACATAACCGATGTGGCGCACTTTGTTTGCGTCCCCACACTCCTCGACCTGTGTGATCATGACACCCGTCATTCTCACTCCCTGTGCCCTGTGCTTGTGCATCCCAGGTCTAGTAGCAGACCCGTTGGTGCCGGCCGCCCTCTCATGCCTGCTGCACCTCGCAGCGTCGCCTGGAGCTGCAGGGCAGGCGTTTGCGCGGCGCTTTGTGTTTGGCTTCGACACGCTCACATCGCTGCTGCACAACGCCATAGAGGCCAACGACTTCCACCTGCAGGCGCTCTCCATCTCCGTCTTCCTGCACGCCCTGCGCTCCGCTCGCGCCACCCCTAGGGATGCCAGTCAGTTCCCTCCAGCAAGGCTGCACGGGCTGGTGTCTGCTCTGGCAGGAGTGGTGCGGCGATTCTGTGTGGACGTAAGGGAGAGGAAGCGCTGGGTGCTGGACCAGAATGAAGCCTTCTCCACCGCCTGCTTTGGCCTTGCTGTGCTCGCCACGTGGCAGAGCATTGTAGGCACAGAGAACATGCAGCTGCTGCGGTTGTTGGAGCAGTGTGTGGGTGATGGGGCGTCTATTCTGCCAGCCCTTCAGGACGTGCCCAGCACGGGTGGATCACTCACAGGCACGGGCGCCAAGCTCCATGGGGCGTCCTCAGCAGCCCTCCCTGCAGCTGCATGTGGTGCTGCAGGTGGGACGGATGAGGTGGCTGTGGCTGTTCTCACCTTCCTGCACGCCTGTGCTCAGCGCTTCCTGCACGCCCAGGCCACCACAGCCGCTGCTGCTGCTCTGGCGTCGTCCCAGCAGGATGCGGGGCTGTTGGCGATGGTGGGGGGATCGCAGGGCGTTCCCATGTTCCACAGCAGCCAACAGGAGGGCGTGGGAAGGGGCTCAGCAAACCTTGGTAGGACTGGCGGGACGTACACGCGAGGGAAGGCTGATAAGACTCAAGATTGGGGTGCAAAGGCGCCCTCTGTGTCTCCGTCTCACACCCCCACAGCCCTGCAGTGCTGCATTGACGACATAGCCGCTGCTCTTATGGCTGCTGCGGACATGCACGTTGCTCCCTTCATGTTCTCCCTGCACCCGCAGCTGCAGCCCCCACCTGGTCACATGCACGCGCCCCAATCAGCAGCATCACCACCGCCCTTCTCCGACCCAGCGGCCATTCTCTCCCGTGCATACGACGTGCTCAGCCACATGCTGGCGTGTCCCCTGCCCTCCCTTGCACCCATCGCACGCCAGTTCGCAGCCAAGCTCGCCTCCAGCTGGACCCTCTCCCTCATCTTCTCCTCCCTGCAAGCCTTCCACCCACCCACTGCCTCCTCACGTGCAGCCCCATCCTGGCGGCCCCAGTCAGTCGCTCCTCCCCAGGCGTCAGAGGGCAGCAAGTGGGATGTATTGCGCAGGGCAAGTCTGCGCTTTGCAGTGCTGCTGTCTACCGTGGCAGCAACAGGCGAGGAGGGGCAAGCGGTGGTGCAGTGGGTGGTGGGCGTGGCAGGGGTGGAGCGCATGCCGTGGGCTGTCAGTGACATGGTGCTGCTGCTCGCACAGGGCAGGGGGGAACCGGATGCTGGCAGGCTGGCAAGAGATATGCAGTGGCGCTACCAGGGGGGCGAGAGCAGGGAGGGGAGTGCTGGAGAAGAGGAGGAGGTGCAGGCGGTGCAGTGGATGGTGCTTCTGATTCTGTACGCTGCTGTGCAATTCGATGACAGGTAAGCTGCCTCAGTGACAAATCTTGTTGCTACCATGCACACGTTCAGGTCCTTCACCACTGCACACTCCTCCATTTCACCTCTCCGGTTCTCTCCCCCTGTGCCTCGCCTACACCCATGGCACGTGTGTCTCTCCTGTGCGGAGCAGGCTGGTGGACTATGAGGACATGTTTGGCGCGCTGCAGAGCTTGGTGCTCTCCAACCGCATCCCACCACTCGGATTGCCACTCCTCCCCCTCCCCTCCCTCACACCTTCTCCCCACAACCACCCCTCGGACGCCCACTCTCCCCCACCCCCCACCGCCACCCGCTCCACATTCTTCCTGCTGGTGTTCCTGTCGCTGCACGCGCTGCTGCGCCCCTGCTGCTCCACTGTGTCGTTTGACGCGCAGCACCGCCTCCTCTGCTTCCTGCACCGCCACGCAACAGCCCTCTCATTCCCCCTCACGGCCTGGCACCTGGCTCTACCGCACTGGATCCTGTTACAGGACGGTCTAGAGGAGCTCAGCCACAGCCTCGTGCACTCCTGGCTCTGCACTGCTGCTGCCTCCCTGCCGCCTCCCTCTGCCTCAGGGCCCTCGCCCGGGACCAGCAATGCAGCAGTAGCAGCATCAAGCAGCGGTGGTGGCAGTTTAAGGAATGTAGGTGAGAGTTTGGGCGCTGGTGCTTGTGCTGCGGGTGGTGAGACGCCGGAGCTGGATGCTCTCGGTAGCTTGCTCAGCGGTGGCAGTGAGAGCAGCTATGCGAGCAGCAATGGAGTGGATGAGATGAGCGGTGACAAGGAGGAGGCAGGGAGGCGATGTGCTAGGGTGGTGGCAGGGGTGGTGAGGGAGATGTGGAGGGCGAGGGGGGAGTGGCAGCAGCTGGCACAGGTGACTGAGGCACTGGCGGTCCTGGTGGACAGGCATCCACATTTGAGTGCCCGATTGGAGCAAGGGGCGCTCTCAACCATGGTACGTCAGTGACATGCTTTTTCTCTATGCCTCATCAACTGCTACCTTGGAGAGTTCTGACTTGTTGTTTTCTCTTGATTCGTTTTCTCATGTGTCCCATGGCGCCATCAGCACCTGCTTCCCCTCTCTTCTGCAACCAACACCCTTCCCCTGGTCTCCCTTCCCTTCCCCCCCTCTGTCTGTGTGCGTGCACCAGTACATAGAGGCCATGCTGCTGAGCGGCTCTAACCTACCGCCGCCTCTGCTGCTCGCCACCCTGCACCTGCTGGCCCGCCTGCTCTCCCACCTGCCCCCTAAGCCCCCCGTCCCTCCGCGCATGGGAGGGCGGCTGCAGTCACCGCCACAGCAGGCAACAGCGTGGGAACACTTAGCACAGCAGGTGAGAGGAGATGTTGATGTTGCCTTTCTTGTCTTATGAGGCAGTTTGTCCTTGGAAATAAACTCGTTACTGGCATGCCTCCCATGGCGCCAATGCTACCCCTCCCAGGTGCTGATTGTGGTTGAGCCACTGGTGGAATCTACTGCTGTCAGCAGCACTGTGAACGCTGCGCCTCCCACTCCCTCACAACAAGAGCAGCCGCAACACCAGCAGCAGCAGCAGCAGCAGCAGCACTATAGCCAGGCATACAGGCAGGCGCAAGTGCATTGTGGTGATGGTGGTGCAGGGAGCGAGCAGGAGGAGCGTGGCGAGAGGGAGCAGGTGCTGGTGGGGGCGTTGAGCGTGATCAACGCGCTGCTATGGCACGCAACAACACTCTACACATCCAGTGACGCTGAACCATGCAGCCAGCCCAACGAGCTCAGCGGAGCAAGATCAGGCGGCAGCCGTACAGTGGGCGATGCGCGGCTGATGGCAGTGGTGGAGGCAAACGAGGACGTGGTGAACGCGGCTGGCACCATCATGATGAGCTCGGCTCTTGTGGCCTTCACAGAGGGGTGTGTGCGGGCTGCTGCACGTGGCATCTGTGGAACCACTGGTGATCTCGAGGACACGCCAGCAGTGGCTGGTGGGGGGACGCAAGGAGGGGGATGTGGTGTGGGTGTGGTGCAGGCGCGAGGGAGTGGGGGAGTGTGGCAAGGCTACTCCTGCCGTGTGCTGCTCTCCTGTCTCACCTTCTTCAACCTGCGTGTCTCATGGTACGTGCGCCCCTGCCCCCTCCACCCTACCACTAACGATGCATGCACCAGTCATCGGGCACTGCCTGAAAGGTATTCCACAACAAGTACCCCAACATCGAGCATAGTCTTTTGAGCTTCAGTATGCTCCTATACCTCACCAGCTCTCACAGCCGGCACTCACAATCATGCCCTCCCTGCTGCGTGCCCCAACTGCCTGTCCTCCGTTCACAGGGTGCATGCACTCGAGGCTGCATCCATTCTCCCCTCGGGCATTCCACCTCTCAATCTCTCGCTGCGGTTCTCGCCTCCATCACCGCAACCAGCAGCGGCACCAGCAGCCCTATCAGCAGCAGCAGATGAAAGCGCCACTATTCCTGCCGCAGGCTGTGCCAGTCAGGGCGACCCAGCAGCCCCCATGCGGCAGGCGCAGCAGCAGGAGCGCCCCAGCGCGCTGAGCTTGGCCTCCGCTTGCGACCTCGCTGCCATTCTGCTCGCAGCCGCTGCCGGCCAGCTGCCTGCCACCGTGCCCGCACACAGCAGAGAGCAGCGGGTGGGAGGAGCAGCGGGACCAGGCCGTCCCCCTGGGAACAGCAGTGGTTGCGGCAAGGCCGATGGGGATGAGAGGAAGGGAACGGAGAGCAGGTCATGGGCAGGGAGGGCGGGTGGCAGATGCGGGCATGCGAGCATGCAAGACTCCTTTGTGGCTGCTGATCTTGCCTCGTGTGCCCTGCTCTCCTGCCTCTCCTCTCTCGCCCTCCCTGCACATGCATCCTCAGTACAGCCCCCTGCAGTAACATTGGACCAAGGCGGTTCAGGTACCTTTGCCCGGCCTGCCGTACCACCCCTGCTGCCTGCACCTGGGAGCACCCCAGGTGAAAGCAACCTACGCCTGTCACAGCAGGAGCAGCAGGAGCGTCAGTACGATGTACCATCCTCTCAGCCCTCTCCCCAGACCCCTTCCTCTCCTGCTCCACCTGCTGCTCTTCCCTCTCTCTCTCCCACTGTCTTCTGGCCGATCGCTGCTGCGCTGCAGCATGCAGCCTCGTGCCCACACCCCCCTGTGCGGCGCAACACGTGCCTCGCCCTCTCCTTGCTGCTGCGCTGCTTTGATCCAGCCTCTGTCGCTCTCCCCCTGGCAGCCAGCCCCTGGACTCGCCTGCTGCTAGACGATGCCCTTGCCTCTATCACTGCCGCCGCTGCTGCCACTGCTGCTGGACCTTCTTCTGCTGCTGTCACTGCTGTTGCACCAGATGCAGCAGCGGTGCGAGCAGGTGAGGGCAGGCCTGCTGGGGAAGCAGTGCAAGCCCAGTCCACCTCGTGCCCCTCGCCCGCCTTGCTCGACCTCCTGCTCGCGCACAGCCTAGAAGCCCTTCACATCGCTGCCTCCTGCTTTCACCTCGCCCCACCGACCGCCCCGCCTCGATGGCTCTCTCAAATCTTTCAACCTGCCCGGGTCTCTGCTCTCGTGGGCTCGCTCTGGCGATCCCGTCAGCTGTCTCTGCCTGCCATTGCCACGTGTCACAGGCTCATTGGTGTCGGCCTGCTGCCTCGCTCCGTTCTGCCCCAGCTGCTGGACCTCGCTCAGGTATGGGGAGCAGAGAGGAGGGGTGTGGGGGATGAAGATGTGTGGGGGATGAAGAGGTGTGGGGGATGAAAGGGCCTGTGTTGTCTGTCTCAGCTCTTGCACACTAACTCCACGCATACTGCCCATCCATGCTCCACACTGACAGCTTCCTCCCCAACACTGTCTCTGTGCAGGCACATGCCCGGCCACAGCCACAGCAGGGCACGAGCAGCAACACCACCAGCAGCTCCTGCTCGTACACTCTTACTGCCCGCCCTGTCTGGCTGGCGGGTTGCCTTGTGCTCTGCAACCTCTCCATCCCAGCCGCTCTCTCCAATCCTTGTCTCGTAGACCCCTCGCTCCCTGCTAGCCTGTCACAGCAGTGCGCTGCATTCCTTGCCCTGCACGCCAAGCTGCCTCGCTGCACGCAGTAGCCCCTGTTGCACTGCCTGGCTTGGCCCTGCAGCAGTGTGGGACATGGAAACGTGATGCGGGTATTGAGGAGCATTGAACGCAAGTGGCTGAAGTACAACTGATGCTACCATATCACTTGCCACCCGTTTGCCACGGGTGCTTTTCCTCGCGTGTGGTCGCGCTCAGAAATCTCATTGCATTGCCAATGCCTCTTTGAGTGAATCCCCACCAAAATTTCGCCCACGATCAGCCAATAATGAGGGCTCTAGGATATCACCAGAGTAGCTCAATGTCCCCTTTGACCTTCATGAGGATGGGTAGGAACCTAAAACTGCATGTATTCCATGTTTCACTTGCTGTGCATGGTGTCTTGTTGTCGGGCTGGAGAAATGTGTATGGTGCACACGCGTAGTGGAGTCGTCGTGTTCAATCCACTGGTATTGCAGTCATGTTGTAAGCTACCACCACTAAAACTGGGACGACTTTCTTTTCCATTATTTTCAATTTCGATTTACATGTGGATAATTCACGCTATCTCTCGAGTGGATGCGCCTAAAGGTTCCCAATACGAATTCGAAGTTTACATAGCTACATGCAAAAAAATGCATCAGAATGCTAATTTACAGAACATTGGAATGCATACCGTCATCGCCCGGATATAAGACAGTGTCGAATTGAAGACAGGGGGTGTCTTTAAAACGGGTGTATCTTATAAGTGGGTGGTCCTTATTCCAAGACACCTGTCGATGTGTACGAGGTAAGCCAATGTAGGGGTTAGGGGTATTATGACGAGGGGGTATCTTCTAAACGGTTCTTTGTCCATTTATAAGAATTATAAGACACCCTAAACCACCCCAATTACAAGACAACCCAAGCATTTTTTCTAATGTATAAGATGAGACATATGACGGTACAAGGCCTTTCATGGTTATGATTCTTTGGACGCACAGACACTTCTACTGTAGTCTGTAGATGATGGAATTATCGAAAACGACATTCCCTCTTGCAGCACAAGCCTTCTCTCTTCCGCACCAAACGCCTTCACCAGCCTTACTTCCAGCAGCATCGCCATCCCACCTATCGCCCTCTCCGCTGCGCCTCTCCAACCCTGCTGCCTCACCTGCCACCCGCACTGCCACCGCCGCTGCACTAGAATAACCAGCAACACCCCGCTCTCCCCTGCAGCACACATGTCTGCAGCTGCCATTCCTACACTGCCTCTCCGCTGTGCTCATGCGATGACAGGGCTGCCAATACCCCCATGCCATGGCTGGGGTTTCAGCCGCATTCCCTTCCTTCAACCCAGAGGGTCTCAAGCCCCCCCCTTCAAATCACCCACCCAAGGTAATTCATCCACCTTCCATCCCATTCACCCACCCAAGGGGCTTCAGGCCCCTCCCCATCCTCTCACCCACCCTAGGGGTTTCGGCCAACTTCCCGGATCTGAAAAAGGAGATGCGAGCAGTATATCGTGCATACATTCGTGCAGTAACACTTGCGGCAAAAATCCTCAAGATGCACGAACAAACCTTCCCCACCCACCCATTCTGGCGAATCCAACCCTACTTAACTACACTACCCCATCCCATCCTGCCCACGCCAAACCACATCCCGTCCCACCCTACCCCAACCAGCCCACTCTGCCTCATCCCACCCTACCCCACCCCACCCAACCCCACCAACCCAACCATCCCAATCTAACCAGCCCAACCCACCCCACACTGCCCCGTCCCACCCAGCCCTACCCAGCCCACTCTGCCTAATCCCACTCTTACCAACCCAACTTAAGTCACACTGCCCCATCTCACCCGCTCCTACCCAACCCACTCTGCCTCATTCCACCCTAACCTACCAAAACCACTTTGTGCTCATCCCGACCAACCCTACTGAACCCACTGTGCTCCATCCCACCCTACCCTACCAAACCCAACCAGCTCTGCCTCATCCCGCGCATCTTTTCTCAACCCACGCACACTGCTTCATCCCACCCAACCCTACACGACCCACACTGCCTCATCCCACCCAACCCTATCCAACCGACTCTGTCTCATCTCATGCACCACCACCCTACCCAACCACTCTACCTCATCCCACCGTATCTTGCCCAGCCCTCTACGCCTTCCACCATAACCATCCCAACCCACTATGCTTGATCCCCACCTACCCCACTGCTCCTCATCCCATTCCACCTTCAACCAGCCTAACCCCCACCAAACCAACCATCCACCTACCCATCTACCCATACACCTATTCACAGGTTGAAACCCCCACTCTCCCACCCAAGGGGTTTCAACCCCCACTCTCCCACCAAAGGGGTTTCAACCCCCACTCTCCCACCAAAGGGGTTTCAGCCCCCACTCTCCCACCAAAGGGGTTTCAGCCCCCAATCTCCCACCCAAGGGGTTTCAACCCCCACTCTCCCACCCAGGGGGATTCAGCCCCCACTCTCCCACCAAAGGGGTTTCAGCCCCCAATCTCCCACCCAGGGGGTTTCAACCCCCACTCTCCCACCCAAGGGGTTTCATCCCCCACTCTCCCACCCAGGGGGTTTCAGCCCCCAATCTCCCACCCAGGGGGTTTCAACCCCCACTCTCCCACCCAAGGGGTTTCATCCCCCACTCTCCCACCCAGGGGGTTTCAGCCCCCACTCTCCCACCCAGGGGGTTTCAGCCCCCACTCTCCCACCAAAGGGGTTTCAGCCAAAATCTCCCACCCAAGGGTTTCAACCCCCACTCTCCCACCCAAGGGGTTTCATCCCCCACTCTCCCACCCAAGGGGTTTCAACCCCCACTCTCCCACCCAAGGGGTTTCAACCCCCATTCTCCCACCCAAGGGGTTTCAGCCCCCACTCTCCCACCCAAGGGGTTTCAACCCCCATTCTCCCACCCAAGGGGTTTCAACCCCCATTCTCCCACCCAAGGGGTTTCAGCCCCCACTCTCCCACCCAGGGGGTTTCAGCCCCCACTCTCCCACCCAGGGGGTTTCAGCCCCCACTCTCCCACCCAGGGGGTTTCAGCCCCCACTATCCCACCAAAGGGGTTTCAGCCCCCAATCTCCCACCCAAGGGGTTTCAACCCCCACTCTCCCACCCAAGGGGTTTCAACCCCCACTCTCCCACCCAGGGGGTTTCAGCCCCCACTCTCCCACCCAAGGGGTTTCAACCCCCACTCTCCCACCCAAGGGGTTTCAACCCCCATTCTCCCACCCAAGGGGTTTCAACCCCCATTCTCCCACCCAAGGGGTTTCAGCCCCCACTCTCCCACCCAAGGGGTTTCAACCCCCACTCTCCCACCCAGGGGGTTTCAGCCCCCACTCTCCCACCCAAGGGTTTCAGAGCCCAAGGGTTTCAAACCCCACTCTCCCACCCAAGGGGTTTCATCCCCCACTCTCCCACCCAAGGGGTTTCAACCCCCACTCTCCCACCCAAGGGGTTTCAACCCCCACTCTCCCACCCAAGGGGTTTCATCCCCCACTCTCCCACCCACGAGGTTTCAGCCCCCACTCTCCCACCAAAGGGGTTTCAGCCCCCAATCTCCCACCCAAGGGGTTTCAACCCCCACTCTCCCACCCAAGGGGTTTCAGCCCCCACTCTCCCACCCAGGGGGTTTCAGCCCCCACTCTCCCACCAAAGGGGTTTCAGCCCCCAATCTCCCACCCAAGGGGTTTCAACCCCCACTCTCCCACCCAAGGGGTTTCAGCCCCCACTCTCCCACCCAGGGGGTTTCAGCCCTCACTCTCCCACCCAAGGGGTTTCAACCCCCATTCTCCCACCCAGGGGATTTCAGCCCCCACTCTCCCACCCAAGGGGTTTCATCCCCCACTCTCCCACCCAGGAGGTTTCAGCCCCCACTCTCCCACCAAGGGGGTTTCAGCCCCCACTCTCCCACCCAAGGGGTTTCAACCCCCACTCTCCCACCCAAGGGGTTTCATCCCCCACTATCCCACCAAAGGGGTTTCAGCCCCCACTCTCCCACCAAAGGGGTTTCAGCCCCCAATCTTCCACCAAAGGGGTTTCAGCCCCCAATCTCCCACCCAAGGGGTTTGAACCCCCACTCTCCCACCCAAGGGGTTTCAGCCCCCACTCTCCCACCCAGGGGGTTTCAGCCCCAACTCTCCCCCAAAGGGGTTTCAGCCCCCAATCTCCCACCCAAGGGGTTTCAACCCCCACTCTCCCACCCAAGGGGTTTCAGCCCCCACTCTCCCACCCAGGGGGTTTCAGCCCCCACTCTCCCACCAAAGGGGTTTCAGCCCCCAATCTCCTACCCAAGGGGTTTCAACCCCCACTTCCCCGCCCAAGGGGTTTCATCCCCCACTCTCCCACCCAGGGGGTGTCAGCCCCCACTCTCCCACCAAAGGGGTTTCAGCCCCCAATCTCCCACCCAAGGGGTTTCAACCCCCACTCTCCCACACAAGGGGTTTCAGCCCCCACTCTCCCACCCAGGGGGTTTCAGCCCCCACTCTCCCACCAAAGGGGTTTCAACCCCCATTCTCCCACCCACGGGGTTTCAGCCCCCACTCTCCCACCCAGGGGGTTTCAGCCCCCACTCTCCCACCAAAGGGGTTTCAGCCCCCAATCTCCCACCCAAGGGGTTTCAATCCCCACTCTCCCACCCAAGGGGTTTCAGCCCCCACTCTCCCACCCAGGGGGTTTCAGCTCCCACTCTCCCACCAAAGGG